TATATATATATATATATATATTAATATGAATCTGTATCATTTAAAAGATTCATTTTAATTTCTTCCCAAGCCATTCATATAATTAATAAGATCCACACCATACCTGCATGTTTATTTATCATTTGCGCTTATATTAATAATAATAATTGTTTTTTTTTTTATTATTTAATTAAACAAACATCACTCCTCTTTCATACTTTTGAGTAATATTGGGTTGACAACTAAATTCATTGCTGATTTTGAAAGGCCACCTATCGGCAAAATCCGCAATCATTTACTTACCAACTCAATACAACAATTGCAATATTAATAATTGTTAATAATAACTTTCTATCCAATCAAATTTGTAAATGATAATTTAAATAATGAGCCTTTTTCCTGGGAAGATTAAAAAAAGATCCGCTAGGAGGGGCAGCACAGTGGGGGGTACATATGTGAATTTTACACCATCCTGCTTGTACCGACTATCAGACGTACAATTAGCGTATGTACAATGTTTTGTAGGCATGATTTTTTTAATAATTTTTTTGATCACAATATTTATTTATTCTAATAGTAATAAGACGTATGTTTAACGTTGTTGTCAATAGAGAATTCAAAACATATGTACCCCCCACTGATGCTACCCCTCTTAGCGGATCTTTTTTTAATCTTCCCAGGAAAAAAGCTCATTTATTTTTTGCATTTACTTTTTTCTTTAATAAACAATTGAATAAATATTTCTTGATAAATGTATATAAGAGGAGTTTCTTAAATGTATTTATAGTGTAGCGCACGTGTTACTTTGTTTTATTAGATTTATTTGAATTATTATTAAACAAAGCTTTTTTATAATCCAAATTCCCTTTCCCTTTCATCCACTAATGACCTCTTTCGTGACAGTCTGGAGGAGATTTTTCTTCACTTTCTATTATAATTAGCCTACTTTGTTATTGGCTCAACCCTGTTGTTCATGATTGTTTTTTTTTATATATTCATATCTTGAAAATATTATGCATAAATTCGCAAATTTTTCTATCTATACTATCATTCTTCTTATTTATTTATAAATAAACGACCAGGATTTAAATATTATATTTAATAAGCACATTTTAAAATACAGGGCACCAACATTTTGCAAGGTCAAATTATTTACTCATTGTCTCAGTATACTTTAATCAATTTTTCTTTAATACAATATAATAAATTGTCTATGAAATAAATTCATTCATATTTTATCTAACATTTGACATTAAACAACAAAAAAGTCGAGGTCTTTTATCTCATCCTGGCACTCCTTCTTTTATCTCTCAATATAGCAAATTATGCTTTGCTGCTTATAACTAAAAAGAAAAAAAAATCCAAACATAAAAAATAATAATGTATTGTAAAATAAACGAAAGCACATTTCACTATTTCAACAACAACAACAACAATAACAACAAATTATATTTCATAATAATCACGACGACACGTGTTTACACAGGATTGGGCTGCGCACTGCATGACAAAACTAATTGGTTTGTTTTGTTTTCAATCTTTTTCTTTAAAAGTTTTTCATAAAATTTGTTATCTGTAATTTTGGTTATAATCCTGAGGCTCCTCCGGCTGCTCAGGAAAGAAGAACTTGATTCTACTGCCTGATAGGAGTTTTTTGGTTACGTACAGGAAATGATCGACTGGATGTCCTATCTGTCAGTTGTGTCTACGCTTAGCTTCGTGGTATTCTTTGCTGTTGGACCTGGATCCATTCCTTGGATGATTACAGCAGAGTTGTTTTCGCAAGGCCCTAGACCTGCCGCTATGTCCATTGCAGTTCTTGTCAATTGGATGGCTAATTTTTTGGTTGGCATTGGTTTTCCAAGCATGAAGGTAATAACCAACATTCAATATTATATTATTAACCTATATTATAACATTTGTTTATATATTAAATATTATTTTATACTATACCAATATTATAACCACATTTTATATATTAAATTTTATTAGTTTTCCAAGCATGAAGGTTAATACCAATATCCAATATTATCTAATACTACATCCTACATTTTATATATTAAACATTATCTTATACTATACCAATTATTATACACAAATGTTCCTATATTTTCTATATTGAAATATGTTATTTAATATTGTACTAACATTGTAATATACATAGATATATTTGATTTGAATTTATGTTACAGTCTAGCCTTGAAAACTACACGTTCCTACCGTTCAGTGCATTCCTAGCCATCTTCTGGATCTTCACTTACAAGAAGGTTCCCGAGACCAAAAATAAAACCTTTGAAGAAATTCTAGCATTATTCAGACATGGTAATGACAGGTACGCTCAACGGCAAGTTCATGAAGTTTACAGTAGTAAATCATTAGATAAATAATGTGTTTTCTCCTTATTTTCTATTTTTGTTGTTGTTGATATTTCGTAAATTAGGATTAAAAACGTACAAGCATTTATTTTTACATGAACTCAAAAACATTTTAATCGACAAATTTATGTTTCGTTTATTCTTTTTCACATGAGATTATAATTCTTCATTTTTTAATTATAAAAAGAAAAAAAATAAGAATCTAATTAATATTATTGTGTTGTGTTTTCACTAACATTGAATATTATAGAAATATTTTATTAATAATCAGGACCATTTAAGAGATACCCACCCCCACGTATAATATAATGTATAAAATTAATCATTATAATTAATTATATTATTATTACCGTCCAACATATCCGTCCATTATTAAATTTTATAAATAATTCTAAAACATTCAATGTTATGTGTGATATTCCCAGTGAACACAAGACCTTAAAATGATGTCATACGTATGTCATACAGTGATCTTCAAATTTTTTCGTAGACATGACGGAATGGTGACTTATTTATGACCTCAATATAAAGTCATTTGTTCTGACTTAAAAATGACGTAATAATTCCATCACATTCTTACAGCAAAAAACGAAAGGTTAAAATGTTTTTTTTTTAAACTTTGTATTTTGAGACTATAAATTAAGTATATAATATTGTAAAATTGTTTAATTGCATTAATTTTATTTAAAAAAAAATTAAATTTAAAATTTTTTTTCAATTAAATAAAAAAAATAGGAAACTAACTCAGCTTACTCTGGGACTGGCGGGAATAACCGCAGATTTAGAACAAGTTTTTTTCTAGAAAATAAAAAAAAATGAAAAATGGCGAACTTCGAGAAAGTAACGGTCTTTCTCAAACAATACGAAAATTTAATGGATTTTATAATTTTGAAATTTTTTTGTATTTTTTTTCTGAAAAGTACATTTAAAAACAAATATTAAAAAAAAAAAGTTCCAATAGCTTGAATTTTAAAGAAGTTATAGCCATTTCAAAGAAAAGAGCCATTTTTTTTCAAAAATTAAAAATTTTTTTGGGTTTGGTAAAAGAATTTGAAAAAATTCTGAAAATTGTTTTTCATAGGGTAGCATAGGATACAAAACTTTCAGCCAAATCGAAAGGAGTCGGGGTCAAAAGTGAGCGATTTAACGTGGAATGCCCCATATATATATATTAGGGTGGGTCAAAAAAATCAATTATTTTTTTTTTACAAGTGCCACGGAAAAATTGGTTGCTAGACATCTTAAAACAATTCTCACCAAATATGAGCTCTTAATTTTAATAGGAAGATCCTCCCGTCTTACGTTAATCGTGTAAACGTGTTACCCGTGTTACGTTATCTTACGTTAATAAGTGTAAAATAATGAGTCACATGTGACTCATATCTGACTTATATCTTACGTAAATCCTGACATAGCGCAAAATCATTTTGACGTCATTTTGATGTAATTGTGTTTACTGGGTTGGGATCTCTGGGAGGGGCGTGGCGTAGCAATTCGACCTATATACTCTTTTTTGAATCTAGCCACCAGATAGCGTATTCAAGTGCTAGAGATCCCAATATATATAAATATTATCATTAATTCTAAATATTAAATAATCATTATTACTTCATTATTATTATTATTATTATTATTATTATTAATATGAATATTGCAATGATAAAATGATACCACACAGTAGAAAAAGAAAAATAACTGTTAGATGAAGAAAGTTTCTCGTCTAGTACTTTTGATATTTAAAAAACAATTATTCATGATTGGTGGATAAGAAAAATTCTGGAAAAACACGTGACATTTTTATTAATAATAATTCCGTCATTATTCGTTCGATTCTTACACAATTAATTCACTTTTATTATGCATTTTTTTATTAAATACTCAAACTTTTTTTTCACAGACACACATGTACACATATACACACAGAACCAATACTACAAACGTAATTCTACAACTCTTATGATAAAAATGATACAAAAAAGAAGCGATCGGTTCTCAAAGCTTAACAAAACATTTTTTGTTTATTTTATAAAATGTTTATGATTCAACTGTAATAAAACAATCATTGTGTGGAAACATTTTGTTAATTTTATAATTTGCTATATATATCTCTTTAATGTATATATTTAATTTACAAGTAAACAATTATATTAAGGGACCATATCAGTGTAACCGGCCAAAAAATTGTCAATTTTCGTAATTTTTACGCTTTTTACGCAACTTACGCTCCAATTTCTTTTTTCAAGAAAGGTTGTAGCGACCGTAATAATTCAAATTTAAATTTGAAAATTTTATAGAACACGCACAACTATATGTACTTCAAGATAAGACAACAAAAAAATCGATTTTTTTAAATTTTACACTGAGATGATCCCTTAACTTAAAAGTTAATTATAAATTTATTATTACTTCTCGAATATTTTTTGTTTGTTTTCTTTTTTATTTTCATTGTTAATTTTTATTGTTTTGCATCCCCAATTTAAAATATTTTCAAATTTGCATGATTATGATGATGATGATGATGATGATGATGATGATGATGATGATGATGATGATGATGATGATGATGATGATGATGTTTCTTGATATTTTTTTTTAAACTTTTAATTGACATTAAATAATAAATAGGCTACAAATTTTGTACAAATTATAATAATAATTGTAGAAATTACAATTTGATTCTTTTTATTGTTTACACAGCTGTAGTTCATTGGCTTCTAAATACATCGCTAAAATGTAGTTGCTAAGTTGTAAAGTACATAGAATTAAACAAAAAAACAAAAAACAAAAAAAACAACAATAATAATGTATTTACATTCACATATTATTATTATTATATTTTATAATTTTTCCATTATAAAATGGAAATTATAAATACATTTGCACACAATCTCACATATATATATATATAATATATACACGGTTTAATTTATAAAAAAAAAAGAAGATTTGTTTTATAATCATGTTTCTTCTTAAAATTTAACATTTTATAAAATACAAAAGAAGGAAAAAATATTAAAAGTTGAGTTTTTAAAATTTAGCATTTTATGAAATACAAATTGGGAGAGAAAAAGATATTAAAAATATTAAAAGTTTAAAAAACAAATTGTGTACGACCAAAATGAGATAATTAAAAAATTCTTAAAATATTTAAAATTATTAAAATATGAAATATAAATTTTTAATAACAAATTGTATATGACCAAAATATGATAATTAAAAAAAATTTGCATGTTGGAATAAAGCAAATGTTTTCATTTGATATTGTAATTGAAAAATTTGTTTGTTTATATTGTACAAATGACATAAAATAATTCATTTTGTGAAATATGTATAATAATTATTACTTTTAATATGTGTTTGACTTATAAAACATTAATAGAATCATTATTATTATTTTTATTATTATTATTATTTTTCTAAGCTCAAGTAAAAACAGCATATTTATTTGTTAGTATGTTGTAAATAGATAATTGAATAAATTTGTTAATTAATAATTATTGTAATTATTATTATTTGATTAAAATAATATTAATGTATTGGATTGGCAACTAAGTCATTGCGAATTTTGTCGACAGATGGAGCTTACACTTTACTTTGTTCCATTAAATTGTTTACAGTAACCTAACCTATATTTTTTTATTATTGTTTGAACTATGGAGGGTAGAGGTAAGGAGTAACATCTCTGTATATGAAAAGTGTCCGTCGAAATGCATCCAATTCGAGTGGCGCCACAATTCGCAGAGTGCCAATTTTAAAGGAAGCGCCAAATATATTAGAATAGGATTGAGAAATCAACAAGGAACACAAATTTTACAAAACAAATTTTATCCAAAACTGTTTTGTTATTCACATACTTTTTCATAAAATTAAATGATAAAAAATCAATAAACGTACTATTCACAGTTCACGAAATAAAATCACTCTAGCTACACGTTTTCTCATAATAATTCTTTAAGGTTATATTTACTACATTATTACATAACTCGGCAAACTTCAATTCGTTTACAATTGCTACATTCATACCACATCTCTATTTTCACCAACGCTATTCTGGAAGGTTTTTGAACTGTTATTGGTAGAAAACACTGGACACTTTTTCACATTTTCTCCCATAAGAGATGTTACTCCTTACCTCTACCCTTCATAGTTTGAACGTTTATCTTTCATTCAGTAAAAAAATTATATCAATTAATTCTTAATTTTTTTTTTATTCGCAATTATTTAGTTGTCAACCAATATATCATCTTCTCTCTCTTATTAATAATAATAATAATCGTACATAATATATTTTATCCATTGTAACAATTTTTTCTATGTTATTTGGATCAGGAGCAGCTTACGAGATAGCAGACTTTACGGGTGAGTTTTAATTGTTTAATTAATTAATTAATTAATGTCTCAGTCAAAATTATATACTAATTTATATCATAATATATACAACAGGTTTATTTAAGCAATATCAATTGCATAAATTGCATGAATAAATGAAATATGAAAAACAATCAAAGAAACAAAAATAATGAATAAAAAATAAATAAGTAAATAAATAAAAGAAACACACAATTAATTGCTCTTAAAATAAGAGATTATTTCTTATAATATTTTAGGATGAATACTATTATACAATACAATCCAAAAAGAAAAAAAAAAAATTGCACACCTTTTATAAAAATACAAATTAAAAAAAAAAATAAAATAAAGTAAAATTTAACCTTTTAGAGGATTTAGATTGCTTTAAGAAATAATCTTAGTTTTGTTGTTGCCAAATATTAGTAATATGAATTTTTGGAAACGTTTAAAAAGCCTGGCATGTTGAATTATTATTACCTCTATTTATTAATCAATATGGATGCCAAAGTTCCATCATTTTTCATGCAATACGTTGGTCAGGCTGGAAATTGAAAAAAAAAGCAAAAGCAAAAAATAAAAATAATAAAGATAAAAATATAGTTGCATGAATATTTTACTTATTACAAACAATTGTAAAATTTTTGTTTGTTTAAATTCCTCATTTGTGAAGACACATTTCACAGTTTCTAATTGTAAAGTTCTTCAGGGCTATTATGTAATTTCAATTTGACAAAAGGGTCAAACAACAATAATAATAATAGTAATAATAGTAATAATAATAATAATAAAAATAATGATTAAAAATGTAAAATATATATGAAATTATTGCTACATAACAGCCCCGATTACTTCAAATCCTGGAGCCTTGTATTTTCAGCATGCTCTTCTTTTTTAGCCTCTGCCCCAACCTTTTTATAATAAACCCAAATAAATGTTGAATAATAGATAAGTCTTGAAATAATTATTCCATGTCAATTAGTTGGCACGAGTTTATGATGCTGCTGTACTGTGCGATTTGCATGATAGAAAAAAGTGCTTTACATTAACTGTTTGGCGTATAAACAATTATATATTGGGATCTCTGGCAGGGGCGTGGCTTAGCAATTCGACCTATCTATTCTAATTTTGAATTTAGGCACCAGATAGCGTATTCAAATGCTAGAGATCCCACGTGGCATAGCAATTCGACCTATCTAGTCTAATTTTGAATTTAGCCACCAGATAGCGTATTCAAGAGCTAGAGATTCCAATATAATGATATTAATATTATTATAAATATATTATATATATATATATAATAATCAAACATTTTATATCTGATAGATCAAAAAAAATATATAATTGAAAAATACTTTGCTTTTGCATCATAATTATTCTATAATATTTTGTTCGTATATTAAAATAGAAAACAAAATGAAAATAAACTTGAATTATATAATTGTTTAATGCCCATTACATTTGTTTCATCAGTGCAGCTCTTAATAAACTCGCAAATATCAGTGAAGCTTTATTTATTTATTTTAATATTTGGTTTTTGTGTTTCTTGGTTTCTTGATTTTCTGTGTTTTATTTATTCAAATTTCTAATCAAAGCAAGGTTTTGCCGAAACATTCAACGAATCATTGTTAACATGCTTCTTCGCGAATGAATTATCATTATTAATATTGAATCAATGGCCGTGGCCCCTTTTTTAATTTATAACTTATTCATTAAATTTCATCATTTTATAAATCAATCCTGTTAAAGGACTACTTTAAAAGAATCATTTAATCATTTCATATACATTTCATGTGAAGTTTTATCAAAGAGATTACAACATATTTATATGCATATGCTGGTTGTATTTATTATAATAATGAATATATACATATATTTATGTATATATATATATATTTTAATTAGAATTGTTTTTTTTTATCTCAAAACACTTTATACCAATGGCAGTGAAAATACATACAACACGTATCAATATTTTTGTCTATTTAATTTTCAATCAAACTCTCTTTATAAAAAATACTATTATCTGTGTAAAACAAAATGTAAAAAATATTACATAAAATTATTAACAACGAAACAATTTCTATATCTCGTATCATTGTTAAATAAATCAACGAATACTATTGTCATTTAATAAATAAAACAACTCGTATCATTTATTCGACACATTTAATCCTTTGAGTGGTGAATACTTTTAACTAAAATGTTTTGTAGGAACGGAATAATTTATTAATAATAAATTATATTTAATAATTAAATTTTTTTTCTTAATATAATTTAATTAATTATGATAAATATTACATTATTTTATATTAATATTAATAAACACGTATATGCGTCCATAACACTCTAAGGGTTAATCACTCGTAATACCGCTAAAAATGATAATAACAATAATAATAATAATAATATTCATGAATCATAATTAATAATTATAACATCAAAATTATTCTTCATACAATTAGTGTGTTGCATTTTTACTAATATATATTAAACATATTTTATATATTTAGATTAGGTATTGTTTTTAATATGACATGTTGCAATAGGACGTTACATCCCAAGAGCCCACAACGGTCAGACCTTTGTTATTTTATAAAAGCTGAAAGTTTTTCTGTGCATGTCTCCTATACAGGTAAAAACGACCAGCGACTGTAGAGTTTGGGTTGTGGTTACTTGGGTAGGTAACAGGTAGTAAAGGTGTATAAAATAGTACCTTAAATTCGTTAAAGTATAAAGCTCAATTTTTTTATATTTTCTTCGGAATATCTTTAGCAATCTCGTCATCCATTGCCGGACACTTATGACAGTTTCTAACCCCTGCCAGACACCCCTAAAAAAAAAAATAAAAATCCTAATATATTTAAATTACGTGTCATGTTGTTTGTCCGCAATGGACTCCTAAACTACTAAACCGATTTTAATAAAATTTTGCACATTGTGTGCAGTCTCGTCCAACTTGAAAGATAGGCTAGTTTATATCTCAATTTATAATCGCAATATTATTTTATTGCGAATTATTTGTTTATTAACAAAGAATCATGATTGCCTCTGTTAGTTCGATAAGATTCTTACAGATGGCGGTATAAGGTAATTCGTTGACTTAAAGACGCGTGTATCGGACTGATTGTGAGCCACAGCAACGCGTGGCGCGGCACCCCTAGTATAATATAAAAAAAAAATAAAAAAAAATTTAATTATACTTTCGTTATAGTATAAAAGCTAAATTTTATATATGTTACTTGAGGACCTATAAAAAAATGTTACCTCAATAGCCGGACAATTTTAATGGTTTTTACATCTTGCCAGACACATCTTGCCCAAGTAACCACAACCCAAACTCTATAGTCGCTGGTCGTTTTTACCTGTATAGGGGACATGGATAGAAAAACTTTCAGCTTTTATAAAATAACGAAGGTCTGGCCGTCATGGGCTCTTGCTCTATTATAAATGTTATTAATTTTACAAAGAAAAATTTTAGACGATTTAAATGAACGATATTATAATAAAGTAGGATAAATTAATAATTGTAAATTGTAGTATTTGTTTTAAACTGTTCGTTGTGGTTCTTTTTGTTTTATTTTAGTTATACAAAAAAAGCTTTTTTACAACAAACCCAACACAACACCTAACATGCGGTACGAAATAGGATTTTTCTCAACCAAAAAAAAAAAAAAAAAATATTTAAATAAAAAAGAAAAAGAAAAGAATAGAAAACACAAAGAAAGTAAATAATTTTTTCAGGCTCAATGGCCATGTAACATTATTGTATTACAGGGAAGAAGAGCTCGCCACTAACTCTAGCAAGGAGACCGTCCTATCTGACGCCACCACTGCCAACCATAACCACGCAACTGATAAACCATAAAAAAAACTTTTCAAACAAAACAAAAATATTTAACTTATAACTTAATTATTAATTTTATTCGGCAATTGACTCTATACTAAACATTCATCCCAGAACAAACAAAAATTGTTATATAGAAAATTATATCCTAACAGAGTTGGAAATTATTATCAAAGATAATATTTGTTGTCAAACTTAAAAAAAAAAAAAGAAAAAAAAACAAACAAACATGTTATATTTAATTATAACATGATTCACTTAATGGGGGAAGAACAAAAAAATTAAAAAAAAAACATTGTATAAGTCAATATACCACTTATGACACTACTTCAATATTTTTTTTGTTCAAACATTCGTTATTTAACTGTATAATGATATTTACAATGAATATTTCGGCATCACCACCATATCAATACCATATATATATGGTATTATTTAAATAAACTTTTGATTTTTTTCTTTATTTTATTGTATTATAATTTCATTTGTTCTTTTTTTCGTTTTTAGGTTATATATCCATCTTTTATTTTATTTTGTATGATTTGGTTATTGTTGTTGTTGTCCTTTTATTTTGTATAATAATTTGTAATAATTATAATGATTAATATTAAAAAATTATATATTTTATCATTATTGTATTTTATTATTATATTTATTATCTATTGTGTTTTATAAATTAAAATTTTCTTGCATTATTATTAATCATTTTATTTAAAAAAAAAAAAAAATACTTTCATAATTAATACTATTACGCATCTATAATACTACAAACAAAGTAAACCAATTAATTTATTCAACAATAATAATAATATACTATAAAATATATACCGTATAACATATTAATTTAAATATTAAAAAATTATAGCTGAGCAATATAAATTGATTTGACAAATGGAATAATAAAAAGAAAGTTATTTTTTTTTTATTATTATTATTTTTCATCAATACGAATATAATACAAAAAAAAAATGTTTGGAAAATATTTCAATTGCATTTATTCGTATTACAAGTTCTACTACACAGGCCAGTGAAAACACGCTGTTATATTACAAGGCTCGAAACTGTGAAATGCACTTATATTATATTTTATATCAACTATAGTAAATATTATATATATATATACTTTAAAAAATATGACATAACCTCAAATTTGTAGCTCGTACAATAATCTATATATATAATTATTTCTATTAAGTATTATTTGTTTCTCTAAAGTAAAATTATGCAAAATAATTTAATATAAATTATAAAAAACATTTCATTGGCAAAATAACTATATATATATACCGGGTGACTCATCAGTACTTGTCATCTAAATAACTCCGAAAGTATGATTGCAGTAAAAAAATGGATAAATAAAAAGTTTTATGAAAAATTCAACACTACAATATGACATTAATATTTTTTCGTTAGGTTAAGTCATTTTTCAGATCTATTTATCGACTTTGTTTTTTTTAAATACAATAATATATTTTAATACTAATTTTTGGATAGTTTCTGTCAAAACGAATTCAATGATAAGCAACATTAAATACAAAACCCTGACACAACCCTGACGCAACCATGCCGCAGAAGAGCTGTATTTTGACTAACTTGTTAATCAGTTTTTACTTTCGTTGACCTACAAAAATATTAATGTTGCATATCATTGGATTCGTCTTAACAACCCCTATCCGAAAATGAGTATAAAAATATGACATTGTATTTATAAAATCAAAGTTGACTAATAAATCTCAGAATTGACATAACCTAACAAAAAAATACTAATGTCATATTGTAGTCCTGGATTTTTCATACAACTTTTTCCTCATTCACTTTTCTGTTATTATCATACTTTCAAAACTATTCAGGTGGCAAAAACTCCTGAATCACACTGTATATATACATACACCTATATATGTATATCAGAAAACAACTATATTTTTAATATAATCAAAAATGAAAGCTTTATAAATCCCAAATAAAATTGGAGGGAAAACATTTTGATTAAATTTGTGCATCAAAGTGCATGTGTGTTGTATCGGTGCCTTCAATGAAGATCTCTGGAGTCATACGAAAAAAAAAAAATAAAAAAATAAAAAAAAACAAGTGGAAAAGAAAATCAATAGTAATTTGTGAATACGTGAAAATTTGGACAAGTCCGCGTGATGTTTTACAGGAGCATGCTAAACTGTGTGAATGCATTAGAGGGACACATACCGCCAGCTGAGAGTGCAGCCCTGATGGTGGCCGAAGAGAAGCCACATCCAGATTCATGTAAGGCTTAAAAACCTTCGAAAAGCATAAATAAACCCTGCAAAACATTCATCATCGCAAATCATTTATTTTCTTTTTGTAATTTAATTTTTTTTTGTCTCGTCTATCAACAAGACAAACAATTCTTTTTTAATTGCTGATTTGATCAAAAATACAAATTTTCAATAATTATATTTTTATTCCTATTTGTTTATTGCATAAAAATTATTATTAATTAAAAACAATTAATTCAAATGTGCAAATGTTCAATAATATTAATAATTATTATTATTATTGGGATCATTGGCAGGGGCGTGGCGTAGCAATTCAACCTATCTAATCTAATTTTGAATTTAGCCACCAGATAGCGTATTCAAGTGCTAAAGATCCCAATATCTTTGTTTTTATTATTTTACATACATCATTGTGTATACAAATAATTATTAATTAACAACAATTAATAGGAATTGTTTGATACTTGTAATATACATTGTTCATATTGTCTAATTATCATTATGCATGATTTCTTGTATCATCATTGTATAATCTTTGTAAAAAAGATTTGTTTATTTCTTATTTGCTGCTATATTGCTGCTAAAATGTTTTGTTTTGATTTTGTTTGTTTTTGTTCTTATTTTTTTAATTTATTTGCCAAACATTATTTTTCTGCTTTCAGTATGATACAAAAGTAAAGAAGACAAATATCCTGATAATGTGAAAAATCTAATTATTAATTACTGCTTCTTGCTGCTACAAGATGTTTATTATGGCAGAGAAAACACATCAAGTCTCATAATCAACCCACCAATAGCAATTAATTAGCAAGGAATACATAAACAATAATATAATGTATATTATTAAATAATATTGCTAATATTTGTTGTATTAAATACATATATACATACGTTTATTATAATGAAAAATTAGTTATTTAGAATTTCGTATCTCTAAATGTGTTTTTAGCAATTCATTCAATCATAGATAAAATAATAATATATTTAATGTTTAAACAAGAAATATAATTGGAAGATACATTAATGTATTAATTATTTAACTTCATTTGAATTATATTTTTATCTAATGTTAACATTTATGTTTTGAAGTATTAAAATATTGTGTTTACAATTAAATTCTTCATAAATTACATTTTGAATTATTCGAGTGATATTTTTGGAATGATTTTTGATAATTAAAAAAATTTCATTAATTAATAATCTTTTGATCATTTTATAAAGCTTTATATTTTTGATAATGTATAATAACAATATAAAAATTTTAATTAACAATTAAATAATAATAATAATAATAATAATAATAATAATAATAATAATAATAATAATAGGTATTTTTTATGTTTTGTAATGCATTGACCATTTTTTATTTTTCGTATAAATGTTTTTTAAGCTGACTTCTCTGCACGATTTTGTATAATTTAATGTCTTATTAGAAAATCATAAGTTTTAATTTATGAAAATCTGAGGTTATTAAAATAATTAAAAGGAAAAAAAAATATAATCAAAATTAAATATAACAAGTCTTATAATAATAATAATAATAGGTTAATATTAATTTATATAAATTATATTGGGATCTCTGGCAGGGGCGTGGAGTAGCAATTCAACTTATCTACTCTTATTTTGAATTTAATCACCAGATAGCGTATTTAAGTGCTAGAGATCCCAATAATTGATTAATATAAAATTAATTTATATAATAAATAATAATTCATTTACAATTCTATAATAAATTGAAATAAAATGTATCTCATTTATTATTAAATAACAATAACCTCAGATAACATAATAAATTATTGATTAAATAAAAAAGCAAAAAATAATTTTCAAACAAATTCATCATATATAAAATTGCTTATGTGCTACAATTCAACACCTACGTAGACACATTATTAATTATATTATAATTAATAATAATATTGAATGATACATATGTGTGCGTGTGTCTCTTTAATGTCATTTTTATGTAGTTAAGGCAGTATTGTTACCATTGTCCTAACTACATTTAAAAAAAAAAATAAAAAAACCACTAGGCACAATATTACTTATTTTTATATATAAAAAAAAAAAACATACGGGAGAAATTCAATATGATCACAATTATATTAATTTGCTTTATATCTCACACACTAGTAGCAAAAATTAATGCGCTACTAACACTGGCCTATGTAGTAGTATTTTATAAGCGGGAAATTTAATAACACCATGAAAACATCATTGAGATATTATTTCATATTTAGAATCCACAGCAAAACTGAAGACACAAAAATGAAAGAGAGAGAGAGAGAGAGAGAGAGAGAGAGAGAAGTGGAGGATAGTACGTATTTGGATGTGTAAATAATATATATATATATATATATATTATATATAATATTATATTTAATATTCTAATTATATAAAATATTATATATTTAAATATTATTATATATTAATTATATAAAATGTTACATATTTAAATATTATATTATTTATATAATATATAATATTAATGTATTATATAATGGGATCTCTGGCAGGGTCGTGGCGTAGCAATTCAACCTATCTACTCTAATTTTGAATCTAGCCACCAGATAGCGTATTCAAGTGCTAAAGATCCCACGTGGCGTAGCAATTCGACCTATCTACTCTAATTTTGAATTCAGCCACCAGATAGCGTATTCAAGTGCTAGAGATCCCAATAATATATATATATATGTGTCCAAGTACACACGACGACAAAAATTTAATTAATTAAATAATATCTTCAAAAATCAAACGTGTTGATTGAATTTACAGTTGGAGCATGAACGACGTATTATTATTATTATTATCAAGCATGTTACGCATGGATATACGATATTTATCTATATATTGCTTGGAACTACAGAGAAAAAAAAACATAACATAACCTTGCGATCAACAACAACATTTTACCCTCTGGTATCTTTTTTTAAGTTATATTTTTAATTACACGACATTTTGTTTTTTTTTATTTTCTTCAAAATATATATTTTTAGCATATTATTTCTTCTTTTTTTATCTAATAACGCATACATCATTGTTAATAACAACATCTTATTTTTACAGTAGCCAAAAGAAATACAAAATTCTACGAACAAAATAAATAAAATAATTCACGGAATTTATTCTTAAACCATATTTCTATTAATAAAAAATAAAAATAAATCAAAAACAAACCTCATAATTCTTCTTCTAACTTTTGCTAAATGATAGTATTCATCTGGAGAAATGAAAAAGCTTAATTACAACAACAACACAACTACTACTACTACTACTGCTACTAATGGAATAATATAATTTATAAAAAACAATATATATATGTATGTTTCCTCTTTTATAATTTGTAAATTAAAATGTGCTTAAAAATTGCATGAATATAATATCATAAAAAAAAAAAATAAGTAGAAATAAATATTTAAGAAGAATATTGTTTATATTATGCTTATATATATGGATTGTATGGTATATGTGTAAAACAAAAGGAAAAAAATCGATTGACATTAATCAGCAAACAAACAAACAAATGAAACTATAACCAAAATTATTTTGTGCTGTATAATAAGTTCATCATCATCATATTGGATATAAATATAAATATAAATATAAATATAAATATAAGAAAAGTTGATATCCACACACACATATAAATATTCAATCAATTAATAATAATAATAAATAATACAGAGGACATAATGAATAGAAAAATACCTGGCTTTATACGTTGTGTATTTGACTTCCTGTTAGATGCTTGCAACCTTGCTGCAATCTAAATAACATTTAGAAACAAAAAAGTGATATTTCTTGATGAAGACAAATTATAATAAGTATAATTGAGTATTAAAAAAAAAATAATAATAATAAAAATATATAGAAAAAGGAATAAAAGAAAAAAAGAGTAGACCATCTGACTAATATGATTGTGCAGTTGTGTTTGCAGCTGGATCCGAGCGATCTTCCGTCGCTCCCGCTCAACCGGAGAGGCCACCGCCCCCGCTTCCCCCGCCACGCTTTCCGAGCAGCGGTGTCTGACAATGGGGAACAACTCCTCTTAATATTGGTAATCTGGTGATAATGAACACTCCTATTCCACTACCTTCGTTGCTACTAACTACGAACAGTTACAACCTGGAGAGTCAACTTTACGAGATGATTACAGAAAGTAGCAAAGCATGTGCTGTCTATTTGAGGAACAGTTTATTTCGTGCTTTCAATGCTACCACCAATCACGGATGGAATTACGTACGCGATTAAAACGATTATTATATATACGACGAACATCTTCTTGAACGAGGGGAAAAAACAGTAAAACGAAAACAAATCAATTAAATATTATAACCGAAGGTGGACGATTCATGAAAGAAAATCTTCTTTGTTTTTTTATTTCTTTTGTTTTCGTAAATTATCAGCGAATCGAAAGGTATCTATTACCCCCACCACCACCACCACCACTAACCCGGCATCAACATCGCAACTACCGATGACAACAGTACGCGGGAATCATCAAAGAAAATGAAAATTTAGTAATACCACGCGAAATTAGTGATTTGTGCCTAAGAAGCGATATATTCGAGAAGAAAATAATTAATGTTATAATTGTTTATTAATATTTACGCGAGCGAGGGTTGTTATTAGAAAAAGACGCTTTACGATTAATGAAAACGTAACACAACCAAAAATATACCCCTCTTTTTTTATTTTATTTTTTTTATCTTACCACAATTCTTACCTGTCTATCATCCCCTCCCCCTATCTTCTCACGATCGTTCATCGTTTTAGAAATAAACGCATACCTCATGACAGATTGATTCACTTTTGTATGATTAATTGTGACAGGATTTTTGACACAATTGTATTTAACTTTTTTCTAATATATTATCATCATTATCTTCTTCTCATTCGTCAATTTTAACGTTGTATTTAACGGTTATAAAAAACAATATGTCGATCTAACTAATACGAGAGAAAATATAATTCCTTCGAAAGATTTATACATCGTTCCTGAATATACACACAACACATACACGTTCGCATATATTTGCGCAATAAATATATCGATTATTATTATTATTATTATTATTATTATTATTATTATTATTATTATTGAGATTGAAAAATTACGATCTACCGTGCAACGAAAGCAATTTTAAACGAACTACTAACAATAAAAATTAACGAAACAAATGAAGTTGTCGAGAAATATCGATAATCGCAATTAAAATAACTCGCGTATGAGCGCGCCGCTTGTTTTTGTTTAAAAAAAAGTTAATTTGACCCGCGTCCGAGAGATGACGCGATAAAAACGCGGGACCATTTTAAATATTTCAAATTAAACGTGTTAAATTAATTTGGATTAAAAGATAATTCAATACACTTTTTAAAGAAAATATAAAATATAAAATATAATATGTATATTTACAAACATTCTATTCGAAAAAGAAATACGAAGAATTAAAAAATAAACTAACATTACATGAACTAAAAACATTAAAGCGGCGTGTATCGTACAAAGATTAATTAAAAAATAAAGAAAAGAAAAGAAAAATGATTCTAACTTTTACATTTATTTGTAACGTGTCTTAGAAGCCGAAAAAAATACAAAGATCTATTTTCGATCGAATAATCTCACTGTAACGAGAAGAAAAGGCATACGTCCTTGATTTATTTAATTAAATTTCTTCATCGAACATTTTTTAACTTAATCGAAAATACATCCTCGTTCGATTTCAAATAGTTTTTTTCGCGTATAAGAATATACAAAAATAAGATAACAAAATATTGAAGAAAAGTAACTGAGGAAAGGAAGATAAAAAAAAATGAAAATCTCTCGAAAATTCCATGTACATAAAATGTATATACTTGTATACTTTGACCTATACCTATCGTATATCTTCAATTAGAAAAAGTAAATGTATGATAATCTCGTTTTTTTTTTCTTCGCAACGACGACAACATGCTCATTTTTCTTCGTTAAAATAAATTGACGTTTGAAAAATACGAGATTATCGAAGATTAAAATAAAAATGAAGTACGTTATAATATATTTAAAACGGTGCTGCACAAAATAATCGATCAAAGTTTTATTTAAAAAAAAAAAAAAATACCTTCGATTGGAAGAATTATTTTAAGCTCGTCTTTCTTTTTACTTCTTCTTCTTCTTTTTCTTTTATATTCCATAATTATTCATTAAAATATTAACGATGATCATTTTTCATGAGGGGGGGGGGGAATTTGATTCGCACATAATAATTATAAAGAAAAATATTCTAACATTATCAGCTATATTACTAAACATTTTTTTCCTTGTAAGAAAGAGAAAGAGAAAGCGAAAAAGAGAAAGAAAAAGAGAAAAAGAGAAAGAGAAAGAGAAAGAGAAAAAAGAAAACAACTTTACACACGTGTGTATACAAAAAAAACTATTATTTTGTTCTTTGAAAAAAAAAACAAAAAACAAAAAATGTTATCTAATGCTTAATTACATATTAAATGTGTAAATAGGTTGGAAGAAAGGAGCAGACGACAGATTCTTTTTGACTACTTCAAAACACTCTTCAAAAAAAAAAAAACACACACACATCTTAACTCTTTGCGGCACAGAATTTCAGATAATAAAATAGCCCTATGTTGCATAGAGATTTGATTGAGTTTTAAATGAAACATAATTGTGGTATAATTTTATTAATAAAGGTATTACATAATGTAAAAACATTAAACAAAGAAAGAGTGATAATTTAATTACATTTTGTAACATTTGTTGAAAATGTTACTACCAATTGTTTTGCATAAATAACACGAAATATAAATTTATGAGAATGTAACTATTGCAATATTTCGGGGTGGGATTAAAAATGTCCCACTGTGTATTACGGTGTATCAAAAAGGAGGGACACTTTTAGTCCCACCGTGCTTCAAAGAGTTAAACGAAAACAAAAATCTTTCTTATATTAATCAAAGATAAAAGAAGATAAAAAAAAGTCACAACGTGTTCGTAACGTTTGAAAATGAAAATGAAAATGAAAAAAAAAACCTTCTTCGAAATGTAACGGCATAAATGCAGTATGATATTTTAGAATAGCACACACACACTTCATCATCAGAGTTTTTTAAAACTCACAAATGAAAAGAAAACAAAAAATTCGGACGTGGTGCACAGCACCGTGGTAATTTAAAAAAAAAGAACAAAAAAAGAACAAAAAAAAGAACAAAAAAAAAACGAAAGAAAGAAAAAACTTTTAAACTTAAGCAGTCCACACATCATACATAGAAAAAAAAGACAACACAACACAAATGAAAAGAAAAAAAAGAACAAGCACACAGTGAAAAAGGCAATAAAAAAAAATCAACATGACATGGATAAGAGCGCTAAAAAAAGTAGATTTCCTTGCATTTACACGTGCGATGATATTATCAAATTCAACATTACTAACTAATTAAATGATATTTTAGGTTAGGTGCATATACACGTATAAAAAAAAAAAGGTTATTAGTGATTAAGTAGTTCGTAGCGTTACGTATCGAGCTAATAAAATAAAATTAAATTAAATTAAACTAAACTAAATAAAATTAAAGAAAAAACGATCGAGGAACAATAACCTCCTTAAAAAAAGAATCGTAAGAGAAACAACGTGTGATCGGGACGGACGAAAATTGTACGTCTTTTTACTCACGTCTAATGGCTGTACAATAATTACGGACCGAGTATTGCTAGCATATCCATTTTTTAAATCATTACAAGCTTATAAAAAAAAGAAAAACATATATACATACAGACGCAGAGACAGAAAATACACGATAATGATGATAATGATGATGATGATGATAATGGTGAACCTATAAGGAACATACATACATATACAGGATGGTTTAATAACTATTATTACTTGAAATATTTACGTCATTTTTTTGGCTTTATGGGAAAAAATAATATTCTCGTTAGAACAAAATTATATTATTTCGAGGTATACGTTTGAAAAGAATTATTTTTATAAATTAATACGAAACATTTTTGATCCAATTCTTAAATATTTAATAATTTAATATAATTTAAATATAATATAATTTAAATAATATAATATAATATAATANTAATATAATATAATATAATATAATATAATATAATATAAAATATTATAATATAATATAATATAATATAATATAATATAATATAATTTAAATATTTAATTTTTTTAAATTAATTCGAAACATTTTTGATCCAATTCTTAAATATTTAATAATTTAATATATTTAAATATTTAATAATTTAATATATTTTAAATATTTAATATTTATAAATTAATTCAAAACATTTTTAATCCAATTTTAAATATTTAATTTTCAAAAAAGATATAATCTAAATAATTATAACGAATTAATCATTTTTCGACATTTAATATTTCGATATTTACCTTTATTCAAAATGGCGTACAAAAATATTATAGAATTTCATTTTAAAAAACCAAAAAATATTAATAATTCTTTTCACTGTTAGATGTGTACACCTTTGAAACGATGTAACTTTGCGAGTATTCTTTTTTTTCATAAACTAAAAAATAATCTATACATATTTAAAGTGACAATAGTTATTAAATTATCTCGTATTGTTGCAATTGCTTTGGCTCAAACTAGATATGCGTCTTCGATCGTAAATTCAACGTTAAATGCGACATTTAATGATCATTTCTTTTACTTCTTCTTTCGAATCATTGGATAAATAATAATCTAACATTGATAATTTTGCACGCGTAGATATATCATACATACATCCATTATGAGATACGTTAATTAGAAAAGCGTTTCCTGTAATCTTGTACAAAGATTCATCACTTGGTAAAAATTATCTAAAAAAAAAAAAAGTCTACACCATTAACAATTTGTTCATGACAGACAGACAGACGGACAGACAAACAGACATATTCAAATTTCTCTTTAGATCTTTCTACTTACTGAGAAAGGACATTCCGCGTTATGTGTTCACAAATGTTTGATGATAAAGCAGTAAACAAAAAAAAAAGATTAACCATTAAAAAAAAAAAGATAAGAAAAAGTGTCGTTTAAGTGTTCGTTGTCGTAAACATTTCTACCGTCACTTTGATTTAAGATTGCACTGAAAAATTATAAAGAAAAATATCTTAAAAATTGCACTTATATACAAATAATAATAAAATACAGTCTCTACTACACATACACACGTACACACATACACAAACATTGACAAGGAAGAAGAAGAAGAGAGAGAAAAAAAAGATAAAAAAAAGAAAAATTGCTTGAAATCTACGTCAAAAAAAAAACACATACACACACGTTGGAGCACTTAATATTTCGCATGATCAATGAAGTTGAACGGTGATCGGAAAGTGATATTATATTATATACGTGATAACGATTAAATTCGTTCCATATTCGTTTTTAGCGAACGACTTAATAATATTATATATTACGCACTTATTATGAATTTGATAAAAAAAAGAGAGAAAAAAAACAACTCGATAGACGAGGTAGAACGATCGCATAAATAGTTTCGAGTCAACGACGCGTATTTATGCTCAATTGAATATTGCAACGTACATAGAGAGCCTTACAATGAAAAATAAATACTTGCAAGAGTCCATAAAAGTGAGCGATCACAATAACGATTTGTAAAATAAGTTCACTGCCACTTTAACGACTTGCACTCTTAACAGAGTGCCAATATTCCAAATGTGAATGTGTACAGTTATGTGAAAAGTACTTATATTTACATATGATACTAATTAGTATTATATAAAACTACCTAGCGTATGATATTAAGAGTGGTATACATACATAGGATATGCAAAAGGAAATCATTGAAAAATGCAGAGCTAATTATATTCAAAAACAAACAAACAAACAAAAGAAAAAAAAACAAACATTTATGCCTGCTCATTTGTATATTATACTTAAAAACGTTAGTACAGCCGTAAGTGTTTATCCGCTAAAAAAAAATGCCAAGTTCCAATTCCAATCTGTCAATAGTATAATTATCTTCTTTTTGATAAAATATCCTTTGATCTAAACAGACGATTATTCATTTTGCTCTTTCTTCTGGCTTTGGTTATATCAAAATAATAATAATATGAACGTTTTGAGAAATTGCAAATTAAATTGCATTTATATTTTACAATGTTATTTTGACTATTTCAAATTTCACATTTGTTAAGTATTGTATAATTAAGTTCTTTTTATAAATGCCCTTATATTCTCTGTGAAAATGTTTTATTTATATACCTTTATTGTATTCACGCTCTATAATAGATAGAAGAAGCGTTTGAAGCATAATTATTCCAGGTTTTGAAATATATTACCTCTCTTCTCTTACACTGCGATTACCTCCTATAGAAGTATATATATATATATATTTATATGTATATATATATATTGAATTGAATATTATATATTATACATATATATATATATATATATATATATATATACATTTTACAAGGAACACAACACGATATTCTCTAATTTTATTAATAAATATATTTAAATATATGAACTTTTACAATAATGTAGAATTAATTAATTACTTCTTCAATGTGCAACACTATAGTGTATCAACGGACCTAGAAAAATTCATAGATAATAATATTTCTTTCAAAATACATTGATATCTATTTAATATTAACATATATATAATATATTCAAAATTAAGGTTAGTGAATGAAATTTTTTTTTAGTTCTTTATTAAGTATTTGTACTAAAAAGTAAGGATTTGTTTCTTATAAAAAATAACCAAAAATACCTTGACATCATTCATTATTATGGTTTACATTCCTGATGATATGGTTCTAAAGTACGGAAATCTCTCCACGTTGGAGGTAAAGCACTGTGTAGATGTAATCCACAACGTTTGCATGGTTCACTGAATAAATTGATTAAACTATGAAACCATGTCTAAAAAAAAGATAACAAATTTGTATACATATTTTCATTAATAACTTATTTATCATTTTTTTATACTTTTTCTTAATACTTTTACTTTATCTATGAGAAATATTATTTTTAAAAAATTTTGATATTACCATAAATGATCGTACAGCTAATTCAGGAAGTGCAGGCGAATAAAAATGTAACATTGCTGCATGAGCATTTTCTGTTACTTTTCTAAAAACTTTATGCCTCGATTCTGTCCACAAATCCATTCTTTCTCCATAACCTTTTACAACAACCCATTCAATCATAACACCTTTAAAAGCAATTACTGCTTTTAGAACGTGTCCTAACGTAACGTGTAATACTGCATTTGATGCAAATGGTCGGGATACAGATACAGTCATATCGTTAAATAATCGATCAAAAGTTGCTATCATGGAATCCACTTGCCTTTAAATAAGATATAAATAATATTTCTTATGCTATAAATCTGATCAATATAAAATCATTATAAATAACTTTACTTACTGAGGAGGTACATTGTGATTACTAGTTTGAACTCTACCTCTTTTCGCTCTACTTGTATTTGTATAAGATCTCTTTAACGAATTTTGATTTAATAACGTTTGAGCAGCATTACTATACTCATGAACTTTATCCGTCCATTTATAACTATTAACAAGAGAACCATAGAGTGCTTGTCTTTCCTGTGTCGTTTCCTGACTAAGATAAGTCGTACTAGCCAAATTAAATGGACCAGGTGGTGGATTCAAACTACTAACTGCTTGTTCTACATCCCTGTTACATTTGTATATATATGAATAATTATTCCTATTTTGTTTATTAACTAAATTATAAATAAATTTAAAGCAAACCTTAAATTTACGTTAACTGTTGTCAATAATTCTTGCAATTCTAACAAATATTTGGATTCTTTATTTTCTTCTCCATGATCAGCTCGTAAACCATTTGCGAGAGAATCAAAAACTTCTCCAACACTAGATCGTAATACTTTAATTGCTGTTAAAGCTGTTTGCAATTGTTCCATCATTTTTCTTATTTAATTAAAAAAGAAAGGTAAACACGTGTTATAAATAAAGAATACAAGGTAACACATAAACAGAATTAGACAAACGAATTCCACAAGGTAGAATGTAGGTTATTCTAAATTTACTACTTTGTTTTATATCACGAAAAATCAGTTCAAATTTTTAATACATCGTTTTATTTTTAACTAAACCAAACACTAAACATTATTTCCATATTCTACAACTTTTCCTTAATTTTTTCATCAATTTGGTAAAGCCACTTTTAAGCAGACGAACTCTTAAAGAGTGAGGTTAGGTTATAACACCGATCGAAAAGGTTTTGATGGGCTGCCACGAGTTGTCGCTACAGTATCAAAGAATAATTCTAACCTATCAAGGCTTCTATATACTTTCTATATTCTTTGTTGAAACTTTCTATTGTTTATAAAACTATCCAACCAATGGCCAACCTATAAATTATATTTCTATGATCGTTGCACAAAACATACCGATTGAAAACATTCAAGAATAAACGTATAATTGTTTTTTATTCACCAAGAATAATATTTTTCATTTATAAATGTGTTTATTTTACAAGCATAAAACTGTCTAACACGGGAGAGTGAGTATTAATATAATATTTGTTTTATTTTTTTAATTATTAATATAGACATGAATTATTTCAATGAGATTTAAATACTAAAATTGCTATTATTTTTTTTAGCAAGGAACAAAATCGAGCCAGCATGCCAGAGCCTGTTAATCATCAGGTAAATGCAGCTCGTAAAACGTTCCAAACATTATACCAAATTTCTAAATTACTCAATACAAACTTAGATCCAGCAACGTTAAGTATTTGCGTTAGGCTGTGTGAAAATGGGGTTAATCCTTATGCTCTTGCTACAGTAGTAAAAGAATTGCAAAGAGAAGCAAAAGCTATGAATAATGCACAAGCTGATCCTACGGTCAGTAAATCTAATTTAAGTAAGTGATTAATCTCATTTTACCGTTATGAATCTCACTGTTATTAATATATAAAAAATATGCTCTCTATATAAAAAGATTTATTATTATTTTCTATAATGAAAAATAATTTAAATATGATTAATTGTTTGTGCTTATTAAAAATTTTCATTGTAAAATAGTACGATCTGTATTACATGATTTATATAACTATGTAGTGTATGTTCTTCCACTTTCTTCCAATATATTTATTTTCATGGTTTCCATATTATGTTGAATATGATCTAATAAAATGATTGATTTTACATTCCATAAATTGTTGATTTCTTAAAGTATTTTCCTTTCCACTATGACATTCCCAACTGAACGAAACATTGTAATACAAGTGTACGCATTGCACAAGGACAATCATCTTTAGATTCTCATCTTATTACAATAAGCTTATCCTTAGTCATTGATATATACTATTTATTCATTTTTCATATGACATTTTATAGGATACGTCAATGAGACATAATCTGTTAACAAAATGTATCATTTTTTTTTCTTTTGTTATAAAAAACATATATAAGTTACAAAAATATATCGGTGAAAATAATCTGCGCATTTTTATTGATAAGAAAAAAAAACAAATAGAGATATCTAACCTTTTACTAGATTCATTTGAAATGATTTTGTTAATATTTTATAGTTCTGACTTTTTTACTTTATGATTTGTTTTTTTGTTTCCTTGATTTTTACTCTTATCTCTATAATACGTTTGTCCTTCAAGGGTAACATGAGATAACTCTGGTTGTTCTAGTAAATAATTTTTAGCATCGACAGCTTGAGATCCTTCGCGGAATAAAAAGACTGATCGTTTAGGTTCAATCGAATATCTACAAAATAATTATACAAATTATCTTTTGTAAATATAAGTTATGATACCGAAAATTACCTTTCCGCTATGATATGATTGTTTTGTAAACTAGTCTGCCAAATACGCATTATAATACCAGCTTCTTCTTCTGAAAGATCTTCCCTTACATCCACAAACATCATAACACCTTTACCCTTTTTTGTCATTTTGATAACATTATCAGGATTAGAAACATCTATCTAATGAAACCAAAAATATTGGAGATTCATTTCTACATGATCTTTGTAAACAAAAGTGTTACAATATTACAATTAATTTGTGACTACCTTTGATAAATCTATTTTTGGACTTGGTCTAAGATATTCGGGAAGTTCATCAGGTGGCAAAGGTTCTTCATTTTCCTACAATATAGCATTAATATTTATGTCAATATAATATATGTAATTATTATACACTTAATATTGTAAACAATTGTCAAACCTCCCATTGGTCCAATAAATGTTCCATATCTGCATCATTCATATCTCTTATATCTTTATCACGCCATGATTTCTTTTTATTTTCATTAGAATTATTTGCACTTGTTACAGTAACAATCAGTAATATACTGTAGAGAATTAATTTTATCTTCATATTGAAATTATTTCTCAACATTAACTTTTATTATTGTTTACAAAATTCTATTAAATATACAAAAATATCACTTAATTTATATTAAAAAAAAAAACAAATATAACTATTATTTATTTTATTTAATTAACTTTGGAAGCAATAATTTATCAATCTATCAGCTATTAAATGCAACATTGGCATTCCAATTAATTTCAGTCATTGGTAAAATAAAATCTACTTTACCTAGTAAGTATGGAGGGTAGAGGTAAGGAGTATTATTTCTATATATGAAAAGTGTCCGTCGCAATGCATTAAATTAGGGTGGCGCCACATTAGCATAAGGGTAAATTTTAAAGGAAGCGCCAAATATTATTAGAGTAGGATTGAGAAATAAACAAGGAACACAAATTTCACAACACAAATTTTACCCATAACTGTTTTGTTATTCACATACTTTTTCATAAAATTAAATGATAAAAAGTCTATAAACCTACTATTCACAATTCACGAAATAAAATCACTCTAGCTACACGTTTTCTCATAATAATTCTTTAAGGTTATATTTACTACATTATTACATAACTCGGCAAACTTCAATTCGTTTACAATTGCTACATTCATACATACCCTTTGTCTACACCAGCGCCATTCTGGAAAGTTTTTGAACTGTTATTTATAGTAAACGCTGGACACTTTTTCAAATTTTCTCTCATATGAGATGATACTCCTTACCTCTACCTTCCATACTAGTAAGTAAACGTGCTATTATATTTTCATTGTATCATTTATTAAATTTAATTCCAAGTTATAAAATATAAAAAAGCTTAAAAATCATATATACATATTTACTTTTCATTAAATTATATCTATAAAAAGAAAAATAGAAATTTTAGAGAAAAATGTTTACAATTTCTACGCGCATAAAAATTCACGTTTAAAAATTATTTGACCAATGACTGTTCTTCACATTTACCCGCGCTTAGAAATGAAAATAAATTTTAATACAAAACAAAAAAAACTCTATTGAATAGAATTATTAACTATGTAGTGCATATAAATTATATATTTTAAATAAAAATATAACAATATGTTTTCTCGATTATGTTAAACATAACCTAAAACATAAAACACGTATATAACAATGTTTTTATTTACCGTTGCTGAGCAACTGTTTTATACGATGCACATGAATGCAATGTACATTAAATTTGGATAAAATGAATGACAGTATTTTCATTTTAACTTAATATAAATCAAAGTACTTATCATTAGATTTTATTGAGAATAAAATATATAATGATTTATATTAGTATAATAATAATAAACCATTTATGATATATTTAAATATAAAAAAGGTATACGAAGAAACTTATCCAAAAGTTGTATTTCAGTGTGAATTCAATTCATTAATTAAATACTCAGAATCAATAGGATGGAAGAGCAAGAATATATAACATGGATCGAATGGTTATGCTATCAATATTATTACAATGGAATGCTCAATCATGTGAAACAGGCATGTGATACTTATCCAACGAGTGATCATCTAAAACTCCTACTTAGTCTTGCCTATTTATTAAATGGAAGAGTACACGATGCTATTAAAGAAAGTAATAATTTAATTAACAATCCAGAAGTTGTATTGCCAGGTTTGCTTATACAAAGCTTGGCACATAAAGTAAACATAAATACAGAAAAATCGACTATAATGCAAATTGATATAAAAATCAGAGATGAAAGAAGAAAAGCATCAGTTACTGCATTATCATTATCTGCCTTGGTATTATTATTGTACAAAAAGATTGATAAAGCTAAAGATTATGCTGACAGAGCATACAAAGTTAATCCTGCCGATGTAAATGTCCTATTGGCAAAGGGTTGGGTAGAATTGTACATACCAAATGATGATGATGATAATCATACGAAGATAGATTATTTTGATACAATTTTAAAAACACATAGTAAACATTTTAATGCTCTGATAGGTACAGCAAGATATAAACAACATTGTGGAGATTATACAGGTGCAATATCGATATTGAATTCGTTAATAGTTCATTATCCCAAGTTAAGCTTTCCACTGGTTGAAAAATTATTCAATCAATTAGCTATGAAAGATTGGGAACAAGTACTCGAAACTGCTAATAGAATATTAACGATAGATCCTAATAATTTAGATGCGATAAAAGCTCATTGTGTCGTTGCACTTTGCAAAGATGGAGAATATGGGGAAAGTTTAAAACATTTGCAATTATTTTTGAGAAGTTTAATTCTTGCTGAAGCAAAGAATTTTGATCTTTTGATCAAAAACATACAATTATTTTCATGCATAGCGTGTGGAAATGAAAATATATTAATGGAATTATGCAAAGTAACTGACAAAATGTTACAACAGAATTCCAATTGTGGAGAATTAATGGTTGAACTTGGTAATCTGTATGTTTTATTGGGAAAAATAAAAGAAGCTGAACATTGGTATAGAAATAATGTTCGTATAGAAGAATCATCGTTTCCAGCTCTGATAGGTTTGGCACATTGTCAATTGTTAGATAATTCAGCAAATGCTCGAATTTTGGCTAGACAACAAATTGATTTTTTAATGGAGATTCAATCAACCTCTGTAAGTCCTAAATTATTGTTTATGTCATCGATAATTTGTGAAGATGATCAAAAAAAAGGACTACAGTATTTAAACATGGCGGCAAAAGTTTTATTAAAGGATTGCGAGCATGTTCCTTATGGATACGAATATTTAACAAATTTAAATCCTGATTTATGTGTGGAAATTGGTAAACAACGTTTAACATACTCTGTTTATGATACATCGTCTGTGGATAAAGAAAACTATGAAACAGAAAAAGAACCTCTGTTAGATTTATTAGAAAAAGTTGCCGAAGCATGTCCTGGTTTGAGCAATGTATTATTAATATTAAGTAAGATTAAAATGCAAAGTGGAAAGTTGGAGGAAGCTCAAACAATATTAAAAAAACTTTTGGATGCTATCGATTCTACAAATGCTCAGGGACATTTATTAATGGCACAAATTTTGGCATATCAAGGACATTACCAATTAGCTTTACAAAGTCTTGAAGTTGGTTTGAGTTACAATTTTAAGATCAGAGATGATCCAATTTATCACGTTGTTAATGGTATCGTACAAAAAGAAAACGGAGATCTTCAAAGTTGTATACAAAGTTTTGAATTAGCTATGTTGTGTGCGGGTTTAAAACAAAATAAAAATATAACAGAAATTAAGAAAATTTCTATACAAGATAAAGCAATGTTGTATCTTGAACTAATCTCTGCGTATAGTAAAATGAAACAATTTAGCGAAGCTTTAGCACTAATGGAAGATGCTATGATAGAATTTCAAGGTACTGCAGAAGAAAGTAAATCTACAATAGGATATGCAGACTTGTATTTGGAAATGGGAGAATTGGAAAAAGCAATAGGACATTTAGAAAAAGTTAAACCAGATGAACCATATTATGTACAAGCTCATACGAAATTGGCTCAAATATATTTAAAATATAAAAAAGACAGAGAAGCATTCGCTAAATGTTTCAGGTATACTTTTATTTTGCTTTAATAATATTCTAGTTTATCGAATAATTTTGTCTATATCGATCTGTTTTTAGAGAATTAGTAGAACACTGTCCTGGTCCTAAGACATATGGTATGCTTGGTGACGCCTATATTTCTATACAAGAACCAGAAAGAGCTATAGAAGCTTATGAACAAGCTTTAAATCAAGATCCAAAAGATAAAGCAATAATAGCAAATAAAATGGGAAAGGCATTGATAAAAACTCATCAATATATGAAAGCTGTCAATTATTATAAAGACATTATAAAACAAGCTGAATGTAAGGATTTAAAATTGGATCTTGCAAGATTGTTTATTAAAATGAAACAATATGACAAAGCTGAAGCTACTTTGGTCGAAGAATTGAGAATTAAGTATATTTTTGATTACTAATGTAATAACGAAATAATACTAATAATAATAATAATAATATTAATTTGAGTTTTCTTTTATTTAGGTGCTCGATTTGAATCAGATTTGGAAAATTTAGAAAGTCGAGGACAGCAATTACTTTTACTCGCAAAAGTTCGTGAAAAAGCTGGTAACATACAAGCAGCACTTTCGGTGTTAAAAGAAGCTAAGGAAAGTCAAACAAGGTATATACAACGCCTTACTATGGCTTCGAATACAGTAGAACAAAAATATGTAATAGCGGACATATGCTTGACAATGGCAGACCATGCATCTGCTATAAGAGATTATGATCAAGCAATATTACATTATAAAGAAGCTTTGAATCATAAACCAGCTGATATTAAAGCTTTGCTATCGTTAGCAAAGTTATACATGCAGGTTATTGTTATTATATATTATTGTATTTAAAGAAAAAAATATTAACTCTTGATAATAAAAAGTATTATAATTTTTAGATAAATAATTTAGACAGATGTGCTCAAACATGTACTACTCTTTTAAAAGCTGATCCAAATAACGAGGCTGCATCTGTTATGATGGCCGATCTTGCATTTAGAAAAGTTGATTTTGAAACTGCAGCCTTTCATTTTCGACAATTATTATTACAAAAACCAATGTATTGGACGGCATTAGCCAGATTGATAGAAGTTTCTCGCAGGACAGGTATTATATTATTATTATTCTTTAATATTATTGAATTTAATGAAATAATATATTAAATATTTTTCTTAGGAAATATGGACGATTTAGGTGAATGGCTTGATCTAGCGCAAACGGCAATGGGATCTAACAATATTGAAGCTGGTTTTTATTACTGCACTGGTTTATTAGATTGGAGAATGGGAAGATTAAATTCGGCTCTTAGAAATTTTAATTATGCAAGACGTGATCCTGAATGGGGTCAACAAGCTATTTATAATATGATAGAAATTTGTTTGGATCCTGATGACGATTCTTCGTTATCCAATGAAGCTTTCAACGATGAAGATATGGAATATCAAGACTCAAGGACAATGGCCTTAAAAACTGCTTATCGTTTATTACAGGTATATATTATAAAAAAATGATTAAGAAAGAAATTAATATTTTTGAAATTTGTTTTATTAGGAGTTAAATCCGAGAGGTAGTCAGCATGAGATGTTGACGCATAGGCTTCTCGGTAACTTCTTTCTCCTTGCTACTAAACAAAAATCAAACATCGAAAAAGCTTTACAGGATTGTACAAATTTAGCCAGTCAAGAAGCACTCAGAGATCACGTTGGACCAGCCTTGGGCATGGCGACGGCACACATTTTGTTAAAACAAACCCCACGTGCCCGAAATCATCTTAAACGTGTTAGCAAAAATGTTTGGACTTTCGAGGATGCCGAATATTTAGAGAGATGTTGGTTACTTTTAGCTGATATTTATGTTCAATCGAGCAAATATGATTTAGCGAACGAATTACTTAAACGTGTCTTGCAACACAATGCTACATGCGTCAGAGCACACGAATTGTCCGGTTATATTGCTGAAAAAGATCAAAATTATCGGGAAGCTTCAGTACGATACGCGCAAGCATGGAAATTCGGTGGTAAATCTAAATTATCGATTGGTTACAAATTAGCTTATTGTTCATTGAAAGGAAAATCTTATGCCGATGCTATAGAAGCTTGCAATGAAGTATTGAGACAAAATCCTGATTATCCTCGTATTAGAAAAGACGTTTTAGAAAAGGCTATTAATAATCTTCGCACATAATCGTAATGATATTTTTTACCAATAACTAATGAACACCGATTGTCTTTTGCCGAATAAATTAAATTAAGACGAATAAATGAAAGATATTTATTTTCTTTGGTTTTTCTTTTTTTTTTTTTTACGCACAATAAGTTTGAAGGTAATCTCGTGCCTTCTATTCTTTTTTGTTCTTAGCAAACATCACAAGATGCAATACACATATTTATATTCAAATCACTTCAGACAGAAATATAAGTGTCATGGATTTTGTAACCAACGACGTGGACGATGGAAATATTGTCTTCGATCATTCTTCATGTAACGATCGTAATGTTTTACGAGTTGTTGTTACCGAAGCAAGCACAGAAATTGCACTCGCACTCATGTATCGTATACTTTGTGACAAAATATTTGGTGACAATCAATTGATTTATTTAATTGCTTATGAAACCTTGGAGAAAGCATTATTTTTAGAAAGCATTATAATAGAACTTACGGATTTCAGTTCGGATCAGTTAGATGGTAATTTGTATTTTAAACAATTTTTTTTACTGTAATTTTATATATATATATAAAATTACATCTAAGCATTTTTACTATAGGAATTATTTGTACGCACGAACCATCTATTGCTTTTAAAAACGCTGATATCGTATTTTGTATCGGATTAGCAAGAGGATATGAATTCATGGACGAAGAAAACGAGGATACATTTTTTGAAGAGTGTGCTCTAGCTGCAAAATTTTACGTAAACGATTAATTTTGATTTGATATCGCGTATAATATTTATAAATATGACATTTATTTTTAGGGTGAAATCATAGAAAAGTATGCTAAAAAAGACGTCAAAGTAATTGTTCTAGGAAACGTAGCTGCAACTATTATTTCGCATTACGCTAAATCTATTTCTAGAAAAAATGTCACCTCTTTGTCCAAATTTAACATAAATATCTGTGCTGCTCATGTTAGCTTTATTCTTATAACTGTAATAAATAATTATATGATTCATTCTTTTTTTTTTATTATCACACAATAAAAGTTTTATTTGTAGATAGCAGCGCAAAGTGGTTGTCGTGTTGATCAAATAAAAAATATTATCATATGGGGTACCAATAATAAACTTACGTTTCCCGATTGCAGATACATATATTTTAATGAAGATGTGATTATTAATGATTGTTTACTCGTATGGTTAAAAATTGATTTACCACGGGTATGTTCAAAGTTGCATATCAATTAATATAAGTTACGATAAATAGTAGATGTATAAAAAAATATTTGTTTAACGTGTGAAACATTTCTTTGTAAATTAGATAATGCAAAATATGTCAAACAGATGTTTTTATAGCAGATCTCTTGCTTATGCATTAGCAGAACACTGCAAAATATTGTGGAATGGAACGAACAAAAATAATTGGACTTGTATGGGTGTATACTCTGATAATTCTTACGGTGTTAACGAAGGAATATTTTTTTCCTTTCCAGTATTTTGCAATAACAAAGAATACGAGATTGTTCAAGTATTCAGACATTTTTATTGATTTACATTTTTTTTCTTTTCTCTCTTGTTTTTTCTTTTTCAAATAAATTTTTTACATTATCTTATTTATAATATTTATTTATGTATACAAGGGTTTATTAGACGACAATTCGTACGTTCAACGACAAATAGAAAAATTAAGTGAAATCCTGACGTCAAAGATTCGTGATGCATTACAAATTTGCAAGACGAAGTAAACGAAAATCGATTTACGATTAAACAGATATTTTGAATTATTTATATTATAAGATCTTTTAAAAATAAATATTGCAATTAACCAGTTAAGGGTGTTTGACGACTATATATCCGTCATGGAGATGTGGCAAAATTTTGTGTTATGACGTCTATATCCGTCATGCGTAAAAGTTTCTTACAATTTGATGTTTAAATTGTAATTTTGGCGTAAAACTAAATTATATTCGTAAATTTTAATATGTTTAAAATGTTTAGAGGTGGAAAAAAATTCAAAATAAATTTTTAACTTCTATAAATATTCGATTTTTTCTCTAATTTTTTCGTTTATTATGTATAAATATATATGCATATTAAAAAACTGTGTGTACATAACTAACAAAATTGTTCATTTTCTAAAATAAAGTCATCTTTTTGACCCAATATTTTAACAGCGCCACTTACTCTGTGTTTGACGACTATATCCGTCATTGCTTGATTATCGCGATACACACCGGAGCGCACTACTCTGAGCACAGATCGCCACACTTAACTGGTTAACTAAAAGTTCGTTTTTCTCTCTTTCCCTTTCTCTCTCTCATAAAAGCATTTAATTAACTATCTTATAGCATATATAGTACGTATATTTTACAATTTAACAATTCAATTGAAATTTGAAAATACTTCTCGAGTTTAAAGATCTTTTTCAAAATCGGTTTGTGCAATAATAATGTACAATACGCGATAAATATTATATAAATTAAGCTACATTATTGTTAATATGTTAACGAAATATTTTTGATCATATGAAGTATAATATATCACTGTATAACAATGTTACTTACTTTCAATTAAATTTTTTTTTATTAAGTTGGTCCTTTAGATTTGATAGTTTGTTTGTTTTTTTTTAAATTTGATTCTATTGTTATTGTATTTGATTATTATTTTTAAAGATCCAGGTACATTATTTGAGTAGCTGAAATAGCACCACAGGCTGCTAAAGTGCTTGCAACGCATACAACCGCTGTTGTTGTACCAGACACACTAACTATAGTTCCAAGACAACAAGAAAGAAAAAACTGTGCTAAGAAGACCATGGAAGATACAATTGCTATGTCAGTACCAAGACCACGAACGGTACCACTTTGTATAGCTTCTCCTTCGAACGTAACTTCGAACTAAGAATTCAATATATTTTATATTTTATTATTTTGATAAAAGACACAAGAAAATATATTTGTGTTTTAACTCTCACCGTCGAGGAAGCATGATAATGTGCAACTAATAAATAAGGCATGGTAAACAATGTTGAATACATCACACCAGCTGTCCAAGAAAATATTATAACACCAGCAGGATGTTTTACTATTGCCATTAACATCATTCCCGTACTGTAAAACAATAGGCCACAAATATATACTTTACGTGCTCTGAAAAACGGATTGGTATTGTTAATTGTTCCCGTTTACAAATTTAGTGAAATTGAAAATTTTCTTTGACTAACTTATAACGTTTTATTAATTTTTCAATGATCAACGAATAACACGAACAAGATAAAGAATACATTGACATTCCCCAACATCCAAAACGAACACCACTTTCGTATAATTCTCGTTCTTTCGTACCATCAGGAGCCTACAAATAAACCAATCATTCACTTAAGTATAAACAAATATTTTTCTTTCTTTCCGATTCATGCGAATAATCAAATTGAATGACAATGACAATTCTTAACCTGAGGATTACCACCGTAAACAGCTTCGCCAACGAAATCGGTGAAATATAAAGAATAGCATACGTGTGCCATCCAACAGAAAAGATTGGTCAAACAAACCATTCGAAGACTATGAGGCATATAAACGATAGAAAGAAGATATTCTCTTAATGATACTTTAGGATCAGATTGAACATCAGTTATTTCATATGTCGTTTGATTAGGGTCTTGAGTAGTAGTGGTGGTGGTGGTGGTGAGTATATCAGGTATCATCGGTGCTTCACCAGGTCTTTTGATTGATTCTTGTACCGGTAGTGGTTTTAAAACGAATTCCTACAAAATATATTATAATAAAACGATAACATTATTTTTCAATCAATTAATACATCACTCACATCATTTTTGTTCACGTTAATATCTTGTTCGTTATCAACAGCTCCGTATGAAGTACATTCTTCGTTAGTTATTTTATCATATTCGTTTCCCATTGATTCTACGGTCTAAAAAAAATGTTGATTAATATAATTAGATAAAGATCACGCAAGGATCAAAAGACAGTATTAAACAAATGACCTTTTCTTCTTGAATTTGTTGATATTGATCCCTTTCAAGTACCTCCAATGGAATCTCTTTGAAACTCGTGATAGTACAAGCAACGCATATTATAAAAATAATAGTTATCAATGTGAAAGTAGCGTGAACGTGTCCACCTAACATAACACCAATTGCAGTAGCATCCCAATTGATACCACCTAATCCGTATCCCATAAAACCACCGAGTCCTGCCATTATGGTGAACGTACTTAATCCTTTGGCATGGTCCTCTATTTTTCACGCAAATAATCATTCAATTTATAACAAATAATTATTAAACTATCTCCACAAATATGTTATTATTTTACCAGGTATAGTAACGTCAAGAAGATAAGCTCTGGCTGGGCTTTGACAAGCATCAGCGTCAAAATCAAGAAGAACCGTTCCCAAAATCGTAAAAAATATACCCCATGAATGTGAGGATGGTTTAATCGTAGATGAATCATCTTTAGATAATTTTGCCGTAGTTCTATGACTTAATGGGATTGTTTGATTGCTCCATGATGGAATATCACCGAAAGCATAACCCATATCCTCGCCGTTAGGTACCAAAATTAAACCTAACAGGTGAATCGAAATAAAAACATCATATTTTTTTAAATTGATGCAAAAAAAAATTAATATTTAACGTTAGATTTACGGATGATTTTGTTCATTATTTTTTTAATAATTTACAAAGATCGTTTGAATGAAAAAGTTTAATTTCATTACGTAATTAAAAAGTTAACATATGTTTTTAAAAAATAATATTTAAATTTTGTATAGTAATCAAATTTTGATAAAACCAAATTAGTTCTCACAATCAGTCTGTAAATCTATTGTTAAATCTCTCGGAAGTTAAATCGATTGTTTATTTTCTTTTTTGGAATTTAATTAGATTTCATTTTATATAATTACTTGATAAATTCACCTATTAAAACTCCGATTGCTAACAAAAGTATGAATGGTCGTCTTCTGCCGTATTTTAATCTGCAACGATCGCTCACGCTACCTAAGATTGGTGTTACGAAGAAACCGACTAGTGGGCTTAAAGCCCAAACCAAGGTCATGTGTTGATGATCCACACCGATTTTCAATAACGTTGGTGAAACGAATGCAGTCTCAGCTGCATAAGAAAATTCGATTCCCATGACGGCCGCCGATACCCTTATCAATTCTCGTCGTGTTTTTTTTCTATGGGTATATATTTTTTTAAATTTTATTTTGTATTGTTTTTTTTCAATTAAAAGGATATAACGCGATATAATACTACTGGTTACAATTAAAAGTACCTGTAAATATGAGCATAATCGTCTAACGTTCTTTCTAATTTAGGAGGACCACGAAGATGATTCAAAACACCTGGTAATCCTTGATCCAACGGTACACCGTTTTTCCATTCTTTAAATACGTCCCATCTCTCTTTGACTTTATCACGAACATTGTGAATTCTACCAGCAAAACCTTCGTATTCGTGCAATTTATCCACCATGGTGTTCACTGTTACAAAACTACTACCACCACCCCCCTACTCTTCTTTTTCTTTTAATAATAATAATAATAAAAATAATAATTTTCAATCGCGAGTTCGTACTTTCATTTTATCCCAACAAGTATAATAAATAATATTATTATATATAAAAAACAAACAAAATACAACAACCAAATTATTCCGTTCAAATATTAGACGCTGATTTTATTTTATTTTATTTTATTTATATTTATTCAACTATCAATGGGTTTGATCATTCATGTCGTTAAAATTTGTATCCTCGAATACTTCACAAAAACTTTATATTATTATTATTATTATTATTTTAGTTCTTTCTTTAACATAGGAAACTTGTATAACACCGTCGAGAAGCACCGCACGACTGACACTACCACCGTAAACTCGCAACCGTGAAAGCTCCAGCGAAACCTCTCCTCTTATTTTCTGTCTCTCTTCTACCCTTATCCTCGCCCACACCCTCACCCTCACCCCCTTATCCGCTTTCTCTTCCTACACCGGAGTATCCAACATTCCCACCACCTTCAATCTTTACGATACACAAACTCACCTTGTTCGGACTTTGAAACACAAGTTTAACTTTTGTTAATTGATAGAAACAAGATTTATATCGTAGATGGGTATATTGTTAAATTGTTTTTGTTTGTGTTTTGTGTTTTAGTATTATTTTTTTTTTTTGAAAAATTAACCGATAACTTTAACAATATGTATCATTTTTATCAATGATTTCAAATATTTTGTTGTTGTTTTATTAGAGAAAAATTTGAAGTATAATATATGAATCTATAATAATACTAGGGGTGTCCTGCCACGCGTTGCTGTGGCTCACAATCAGTCCGATACACGCGTCTTTAAGTCAACGAATTACCTTATACCGCCATTGGTTAGAATCTTATCGAACTAACAGAGATAATCATGACTCTTTGTTAATAAATAAATAATTCGCAATTAAATAATATTGCGATTATAAATTGAGATATAAACTATTCTATCTCTCAAGTTGGATGAAACTGCACACAGTGTGCAAACTTTTATTGAAATCGGTTCAGTAGTTTAGGAGTCCATTGCGGACAAACAACGTGACACGTAATTTATATATATTAAGATGTATATGTATGCTTATGTATGTATGTTTGTATTTATAATGTGTATGAGTTTTTAGAAATAATCTATCTACGTGTATGAATAAACTAGTATTATTAACGATCTTCGTTAAAAGGTTTTATTATCGAACGTAAATATAATTTCCTCTTTTACCGGAAATTATGTATTTGCATTTTTATATACTAGGTATGTTCATTTCTATGTACAAATGTTCATATAACTTATGTTTGTATGTATGTATAGAAATAAGTAATCGTTTAATCGTTTGCTCGATGATAAAATAATTATTAATATGAATATATATATATTATATATATAGATTTTATTGAAAATAATCAAGTGAATCTTAGATTTATCAAATAATTTGTTAAATTAGGAAATGTAGTTTAGTTCCTAGTTAAACTAGGAAATTATTATCAGCTTGGAAATTCGATATAGAATATATTAAATATATATCTAATATATTATATATATATATATCTTCATGAAGTAAATAAATTATATTACATTAATTTTTTTAAGCAATATAGAAAAATTCATAAAAAGGAGAGAGGGAGAGAGAGAAAAAGTTGCTCGATGATACATTGAATCGATTCAACTATAGCTGTCAGTCGAAAGAAGTCTTATAAAGTAGGTCTTGTTGCGTAGTTGGCCTTGGCAAAAAGCTCCATATTACGAAGCTAGTTGGATATATTTTAAAGATAGCATCTTATTTTATATATAGGACATTTTACGTCAAATAGATCACTTTTGAACCCGACTCCTTTCGAGATTTTGCTCAAACTTTTTTATCATTTTTTAACATTATTAAAAAACATTTTGAGAATTTTAACAGATTTTTGGCTACTCTTCGGCAATAAGCCTCTTTTTTTCTTCATTCCATGAAAACTGCATTTGGACATTTCTTACGTGCGAACAAGATAAGATCTTTCATAGTAATTTTGCAAATTAATTCGTACTTTGTTATGATTCTAATTCTTAATTATTACAAAATTAATTTACATTTCGCGTTCTTTTTTCTAGCTTATGTATGGTCAATGAACTTGGAGATAATAATTTCCTAGTTTAACTAGGAACTAAACTATTAGGTGGTTCGGAAAGTCGTTTCGTTTTTCTTTTGTAAAAATGAAGATAATTTTTGCTTCGAGGTTAAACCTAAACTTTTCAAATGGTCATAAATAGTTGCATTTGATAAATTTAACCTCTCATCGATTTCATGTGTTATTATTTGTCGATTTGCATCAACTAATGCCATAATTGCGTCAGCAAAAAACGAAACGACTTTCTGAACTACCTAATACATTTCCTAGTTTAACAAATTATTTGATAAATCTAAGATTCATTTGATTATTTTCAATAAAATTCATGTGTCAGAAGGACCAAGAAAAAGTTAATAATAATTTAAACATATAAATGAATTTAAATTGAATCTAGCACAAGCCATTCGTCCGATAGTACTTGCGTTACATAATTTACAATTAGATTTGGAATAGATCACAAGCAATATCGACCCAGGTCTCACCGTGAGAAGGTTGCTATGTTCGGAGACCCACGGGCTAAGACTCTATTTCTATAATTATCTTTCTAACTAGTACATTTCATTAGACATTTGTTAGAAAGAAATTTCTAAAATTCAATCGGAAAAACGTGTCATCAAATTTTTTATCCAACTTATTATTTAAGTTAGATGAAAAATCATGTACATCGTTTTAATTCGACCTACTTACCCGATTTACAATCCTAAATTAATGCAAAACATGTAAAAGCTGTGACGTAGATTCGATTTGAACTTTAAATAACATAAAACGCAAGTTCTTATTAAACAAACGCAAATTCCTATTACACAAACGCAAGTTTTTATTAAACAAACGTAAAAATGTAAACTTACAATTATGAAGGGTAGAGATAAAGTAACATCTCTTATGCTATTACATGTTGCAACTATCAATTGGGGACTTTATTAGAAAATGTATTTCAAAACGTTCGCCAAATAATGTGGTTGGTTACAGTACGACGGATGTCTAGCACATTATGCGCGAAGTGTAAGAGGTGTAATGAATGAACTTTACCCAAATAAATGGATAGGACGTGAAGAAATAGTTTCTTGACCAACTCGCTCTTCCGATTTAACCCCACTAAATTTTTTTCTATGGGGAGCATTGAACAATGCGGTTTACCAAGAAGCACCCACTACACCAGAAAACATGAAAGAAAAAGTAGTTGCAACATGTAATAGCATAAGTTTAGAAATGATAAGACATGTACGCGATGCAGCAATACGAAAATTACAACTTTGCATTGGCGTTAACGGTCATCACTTCGAACATCTTCTTTAATGTAAGAAACTTTATTTTCTACCACATTTAATCTCGCATGACCTTCAATAATAACTCGTTGAATTCGTCTCAACATTTGCCATCACATCCCAGTAAAAAAAAAATATAATATTCATTTAAAAAAATACAGGTGATTTTGAAATCTCCTCTATGCCTCCATCCACGCAAAAAACGTTAAAGCAAAAAAATGTTCCTCATTATGCCGTGTAAGTTGCATATATAAAATTTTTCATATTGTTATAAACAACGACAATATTCTAACTGGACAGAGATATTGCCCCACTCTGTATATTCTCTTTTTTTTTTTACTTTTTTTTTCTCACCTTTTCTTAACACAATTTAAAACAAAATAATATCTAATTTGGGTAGACATAACTAAAGATAACTAAAACATTTAAAACATTTAATAACATAGTCGGGAGAAGGCTTTAACGTGAGTTTATGTTTAAACGTCAATAGATAAATATTATTCGTTAAAGTAACATATTGTATTTTCGTAAAAAAGAATTACAAAATAATAATAATAATATTTGTTTCAATTGACATTTTTATTCTGAGAAAAGTGAATGATAAAAGTAAGTAAGATTATTTAAGTTTTTTCTATTTTTTACGTCATAATACGAATAATGAAAACTAAATGTTTACTCATTTTTAAAAAAAGATAATTTATTCGTTTAATTTTGTAGAACACCAGAAAAAAAATAAAGAAATAGTAAACGTTCATGCAAATTTATAGTTATCTATGAGTATTTATGAATTTGCGTATTTCCATTAAGGGGGGGGGGTAAGGTTAATTCGTACAAAAAAAAGGCATGTTTTTGTGAATATTTTGTGACGACACAGTTAAAATCTCTTTATTACAACCAATAGTACTACATTAAAGTATGACATTCGAAGAATATTGTATAAAATTTTCACGAAGAAATATTTAAAAATGCGGCAATGGCGGCAATTATTCGGACGTGTCTCGGAAAAAAGTAGAATTGCGGTGCTCCTCAACTACTGCACCGATCCTTTTGTAATTTTATATACTATTTCTGTACATAATTTACGAGGTAACGCTGGAGAGTTTTTTTTTCAAATTTCTTAATAATTTATTATTCTACAATAACAAATTAGCCGATTTTTTCCCTTCAAAGTGTTCCAAAAAAGTGCAAAAATTAAAATTTCGGAAAACCTTCCTAGAGTTACTTGGGGAAAACTATTATCTAACGAATGAACTTTGATTTTTTGATTTCAAATGTCCCAGCATCAAGTTATGAGGAGCACCGCAATTCTACTTTTTTCCTGAGACACATCCGAATAATTGCCGTCATTGCCGTATTTTTAAATATTTCTTCGTGAAAATTGTATACAATATTCTTCGAATGTCATACTTTAATGTACCATTGGTTTTAATAAAGAGATTTTAACTGTGTCGTCACAAAAAATTTACAAAAACATGGCTTTTTTTGTACGAATTAACCTTACCCCCCACCCCCCCCCATCTCTCAAATGATAAAGAAACTTTAGCAGATCTAAAAAAAAACTTATGTAATATTGGAAAAATATAAGGTAGGGTGGGATAAAAAGAAATCGTAGATTAAAAAAAAAAAAGAGAGAGAGAGAGAACAAAAGAAGATAAAAAATCGTCATGTAAGCCCTTTAAGTTTTATATAAGGTATTTTATTACTCGGTGTTCGTGCAAGAGAATTTCAACAAAAGATACTTTACCTCATTATTATGGGATTGAAAATTTTTACTTACTCGACTATAATATACTTGTATTTTATTTTCATATATTTTAACATATAAAAATATGTTATTGTTTTTTCGTACTATTCGAGGTACTTACGTATTAACGCCACCGCAGCAAAAAATTCCGCTAATGCGCCAATAAAGATCAATCTTGTTGTTCGCATACAACAACCTACTTGTTTGTACACAGCAACCGTCAGGGTTGCGTCAGGGTTTCTTCAGGGTTTCGTCAGGGTTGCGTCAGGGTTTCGTCAGGGTTTCGTCAAGATTTTGTCAGGATTTTGTCAAGGTTATGGCGACAGCATCAGGTGAAAGAAAATAGAGACTGTTTTGAATCTATGTTAAATTTTATATCGACCCATTTTCCACCGAAATCAGATTGTGACTACTTTTTATAAATAAAATCTATTGAATTTTGAAAGTGCTTGGATTTTAAATAAAGTTTTGTATTCTATGATTTGTCGCAACAATTTAAGTTGTTGATTGGTGCATTAGCGGAATTTTGCTGCGATTGCGTTAATACGTAGGTACCCTTTTCAATATAATTATAATAATGATAATAATAATAATAATAATAATAATAATAATAATAATAATAATAATAATGATAGATTTGAATTATCTGTTATTAATTATTTGAATTCAAAATCAGGAATCATACTATCATTTATTATATGATCAAATTGAATGGATAAATATGAATAGATAAATAGGATAAAGTTTCAATAAAAAAAAAAAAAGGAAAAAAGAAGAAAAAAGAAATACCACGTTACCTTTTAAATCCGATTTGCTTGTTTATCGTAAAAAAAAAGTTTCCTGGGTTGATTTCAATCTTGAAGACAGTATTTTTTCCTTATCAAGACACAAAGCTCGAACAATTTTATTCAAAGCATTATTGTTTTGTTAAATTGTTTTTCTCGTGTTTTTTTTTTTTTCATAAATCTTCGAATGTCTTACCAATTTTTACAAACGACTAAATTCTCAGTAGTTTACAGAATTTCATTTTGAATGATTCAATGTTTTCGAAATATTATTTTATTACAAATATTACTATTATACTTTAAGGGGAAGGGGGGGGGGTAAGGTCAATTCGTACAAAAAAAGGCATGTTTTTGTGAATATTTTGTGACGACACAGTTAAAATCTCTTTATTACAACCAATAGTACTACATTAAAGTATGACATTCGAAGAATATTGTATACAATTTTCACGAAGAAATATTTAAAAATGCGGCAATAGCGGCAATTATTCAGATGTGTCTCATGAAAAAAGTAGAATTGCGGTGCTTCTCAACTACTGCACCGATCCTTTTGAAATTTTGAACACTATTTCTGTACATATTATTATTATTATTATTATTATTATTATTAATTGGCATTAGGAACTAAAAAGTTCATTGCAGTAAGTACCAAATTACTCCAAATGCACCCCTTACAGGGTGATTCAATTTTTCTTGAATAATCTTTTAATATTTATAATTTATAATTATTTTATCTTTATAATAATTATCAATCGATTATCAATACTTTCGATTAACAAAAGGAAATGGAAAAAGTTCCTACCTTTGTAATAAGTTCTTTAAAAAGTATTTAACGTTCACCTATAATCATTTTCCGTTCGTTCGTTTCAAAACAATGAAGATGGAGAATCCTTCCTTCTTAACTATATTTTACGAAAGGAAAGGAAAGGAAGGAAGGAATTCAATAGTTTTCTATCTTTATCTGGTTTATCGTTTTCTAAGGTGCGAGAGAAAGTAAACAACCTACATCTACCTCTACCTCCTTTACTGTGGGATTTAAGCGACACGACACGACACGACACGACACGACACGACGACGATTCTTCGATCGATCGATACGAGGTGGAGGTGGAGGATGATGTTCCTTGATGAGAAGGAGAACGTAAATTACTTTCCTTGTTTTCCTTGAAATCTTCTCTCGTCTTCCTATTTCTATCTCTTTCTCTCTCTCCCACACTTTATTTCACTCTTTCTTATTTTTTTAATCTCTTTTTTTATCTTTCAACTCGTTTTTATTTTTCCTCGTCAGGATTTTAGTAAAAGACTGGATGAACATAGTATTATCAGTATGATCATCATTATCATCATCTTCAGTTAGTATTCTTTGAAAAAGTGATGTGTTACTACGGTTCGTCAGAGGGATACCTTTTTCTTCAAATAAAATTGCAATTCGTTTTGTTCATCTTCTTTCGTTACTTTTAAATTACTTTTCCATTGATTTTTTGTTGTTGATTTATACATTTTTTAATTGAATATTATGTATATATTCGTATGAGTGTGATTTTTTGAATAAACTTTCAAAATCTAAACGTATATTTTGGTTGTATATCTGGATAATATTTGTGATTTTTATAATGATGACTCCCACATCGGAAGAAAGTAAGTTTCTTTTTTGAAACAATTTTTGTCATTAATTATTTTTAAGGGAGATAATTAAATGTCAAATTTTGTATAGAGTATTGTTAGATTTATTTAAGGTGTTTCGGTTCAAGCAGATCATTTAAATATTTTATTTCGTTTTTTATTGTTTAACTCTTTGCGGCACAGAATTTTAGATAATAAAATAGCTCTATGTTGCATAGAAATTTAATTACATTTTAAATGAAACAAAATTGGTATATTTTTTACTAATAAAGGTATTACATAATGTAAAAACATAAAAAAAAGAATTAATAACGAAGATTTAATAACCAATTGCTTTGCATAAATAAGACGAAATATAAATTTATGAGCGTGTGTAGCTATTGCAATAATATTTCAAGATGGGACTAAAAATGTCCCACCGTATATTACGGTGTATCAAAAAGGTGGGACACTTTTAATCCCACCGTGCTCCAAAGAGTTAAGATACTTGTAATAGATTTTTGACAATTTCTTTGCTATCTTGGTACATATTTTTTTTATTTTTGTTTTTATTATAATTATTATTTTTTTATTTTCAATATTTCAACATTTTCTTTGTAATCATCTTACCAAGTTAAATTTTCTTTGTGTCATCAGGTTTTATAAATTTTCTATATAATTTTTTAATGATTTTCAGATTATATCAAATTAATTTTTATTTTATATTGAGTCTGTGATTATCGTACCAAGTTAAATTTTTATTTATTTAATCATCAGGTTATATACATTTTCTATATTTTTTTAAATGATTTTCAGAAAATATTAAATCAATTTTTATTTTATATTAAGATCCTATATAATGTGACTTATTTCTATTGAAAATTTTTATTATAGCAAATACTATTATATTATTAAATTAATTATTTTAATAACAGCACAAAATTTCGAATTATTTATTCGTATCGTTTCACGTTTATTCTTCAAACTTGTCTACTAAATTTCAATATAATTTAGTATTATAAATTTTTGCTAACGTCAATAAGATTAATTATGTAAAATACAGTTTTTAAATAATTCATGCATTCATACATGCATGCATGCATCTTGATTTTATATCGTCGTAACGTTAAACAAGATATAACAATATTCAATTATCCTTTATTTATATCCTTAATTCTTAAATCAATCTTTTCACGTCAAAGATTAAATCAAATCAATTGGTTTTATACTAACACAACGATAAAATAACTACTATTGTATTTACGAAGAGAGAAACAAACAAACATACGCAATTTTATTCATCGATCGATTCGATCTTAGTAGAAAAGTGACGTGCATTCGCATAAACGCAAATATCAATGTTGAACGTTTGAACGACAGTTATCGGAACTTGAGTTAATTTCAATGCGAGAACGAAGAGGAGGATGAAGAGTAGGATGAAGAGGAGGAGGAAGAGGAGAAGGAAGATTGTTTCATTTCTTTTTTTTTTTTCCATAATGAAAAATCAATCATAACTTATTGACGTTTCAATGCAACGTTGCATCGTTGGACGCGAGAGGACGATGCACTTCTTCTTGCATTATTTTAACACGATATGCAGTAAAGAGTCTGCTTCGTTTCTATTTAATAGAAACTCGACACTCTCTTTCTCTCTCTCTCTCTCTCTTTCTTTTGAGTACAAAAATAGCAAAACTGCAGCTATTGCAAAACAACGACGACAACCACCCCCCTCTCTCCTCTTTTATTCGTTGCATGCCAGTAGTAGTCGTCATTTGCATCTCGTGTTAAGTACGAACAATTTAAAATGTATATTTTTAAGAAAAATATTAAAAATATATTTTATTTATTTTTTTTTTATCAACAATTACAATATTCAACGCGAAATAATATTATTATGTAAATTATACGTATACGGTATAAATAAATTGATTATTTAATTATTATAACAATAATAATAATAATAATAATAATAATAATAATAATAATAATAATAATAATAATAATAATAATAATGACTTTGCTAAATATTATTATATTAATATAATATTTATTTTATAATATAAATATTAATATATATTAAAATTAATAAAAAAATTTTTACATTAATCGTCAATAAATTTTCTTTTTCTTTTTATTAGACGTGTTTTAAATGAATTTTATGTTAAAACGTTTTATTAACACAATATTTTATTTAATAATAACCGAGGGTGATATTTTTTTCGAATATATTATTGTGAAAATATTAAAAAATATTTAAATGAATAATATATTTTTGTCATTGTTTATTATTGAAAAACATTTAAAAATGTGATATAAGAAGAGGATAAGGGAGGAAGTGGAGGAAAAGGAGGGGAAATAAATGAACTTAGATTTGCGTTGAATAAAATCAGTAGCAGTAAGTTTAATCGGTTTATTATAGTCAGAGTGTCAGTTGCCTTTCTTTTCTCGATGATTGACTTCAATGTGATTTTGTTGAACTGAATTTTATTTGTAGAACGTCCTGATAAACGTTGTCACGTGCTATTACTGTACGTAACATGATAGATTACGCAAAAGCACGACAGTGTCACGATCGGTGGGTTTGCTTTATAATAGATTCAAGTCAGTCTTATAATTTTGCTATGTTTCAACTAACGTTTTTAAGTTCAAGTAGTCAGTGAAAATATATATGAGATAAAAAAAAAGAAAAAGAAGAGAAAATAATTTGTTATCTACTACATTGACCAATTTTACTATATATCAAAATAAATAATATGACGTTTCTTATATTCGAAAAATATATGTTACTATAATTACGTCAAGAATTATTTTATTTTATTTTTTTGTATTAATATTGTAAATAAAAGAAATACTCGTTTCAATCGGCTGTGAAAATAAAAATTAAAAAAAATAATAAAATAATGTCGTTAAAAAATGAGGAAGTGGATATTGAAAATACCTTGTTAAAGACTCCTTCTAAAATTACGTTTCAAATAGGTAAGAAAAAAATGGTTGTAAAGGGGGTGGTTTAGAAAATAGAAAAAATTTTTAAGTATATATATATTTATATCAACATCAAAACAATAATATTTATTACGTGTGTGTGTGTGTATATATATATATATAATTAATTTTTATTTATTCACAGAAATCCAACAAATCGATGAAATGATAGTGCAAAATGCACTTGACGAAACAGGTATTAGAAATTTATATAATATTTATTAAAATATTTTTACGATCATTCGTTAATATAATTTGTAATAACGTGTTTTGTGTTTAATTATTTTCTTGATTGGTTTTCCTGATGATAATGATATCTTATCAGATAAACTGTGAATGCATGAATCAAGTATATCATACATATTATAATTTCTATAAGTATAAAATAATATAGATAGGTAAAATAAAATGATAACCATATCATGGAAAATTGTTTCATTAGAATTACCATTTAATTTTTTTTTTTTTTTAATAATAATTGGTTCACGTGAAATAAAAAAGAAATACATATTATATACATAAATCTAATCAAACAATTGCTATCTAATCAAAATCTTTCGCTTAACCCTTTGACTTCAAAAGGCGTATATATACGCTCTCACAAATCCATCAGTATATACGCTCTCACAAATCCATCAATATACATGAAAGGCGTAAATACACGCCCTCTGTATTTTTTTACTATAACACCTTTATTGCTGTATTACCGATTAATTTAACATGGAATTTATTGTGATATGTAACATAGCAATTAAATATTGTTAATTATTGTAATGTTTAGTTAATTGCTTTTTTATATTTAAAATTCGCCTATTTTAATTTTATTATCTTTATTCATTCATTATCGTTTTATTATTTTTATAATTAGGTTGAAATTATAAAAAATATCCTGTTAAAGTTATTATACTCTGTGTTACATTATAAATCTTGTATTTTTTCTTTTATATTTAAATTACAGATTATTATTGAAAGAACTGCACAAAATAAATAAAGTAAATTAAAATAGCTTAAAAAATTACTTTTAAAAAATTGTAAAAAATTCATATTTTTATTTTATTTGCCATTATTACCTGGTTTGGTCAGTAGTCAATGGAAAAACAATCGCAGCGACTGATATGCGAAAATCGCGCCCGTTCATATTAATGGATTTATTTGAGAGCGCGCCGCAGTCAAAGGGTTAATTAGTTAATAAGTTCATTACAATACTGCAAGAAATAAATATCGTAACATTGACAATAATTTTCTATGATAAATAAAAACTTTTATTTATTTTCAAAATGAACTGACGAGTTTCGAAAAAAAATTGATCAATTAATTCAACTGAAAAATATACATATATATATATTATTATATTTTATTATTTAAGGATTTGGAAAATTTAATTTCAAAATATTAGCCGTAACCGCACTTATATGTATGAATGCTGCATTTGGTATGTTGAGCAATGGATTTATTTTACCAGCAGCAGCATGTGATTTTAAAATGACAACAGAAGACAAAGGTCATTTGACCGTATCTACCATGTTAGGTAAAACATAAAATATAAAATTATTAGGTCGAGTCATAAGTAACTTCCGTTGCGGCTATGTAGAATCTATTTTTCGTATTTACCTATTATAAGTCACCGAAACAAACGGATTTTCGATATCACTATATAGATGAGGATTCAGTTAGTCTTCTGTCAATTTTTTTATGCAGTCAATGTTACATTTAACCGTTTTTCTTAACCACTGAAATGGATAGTAAAAAGTGCATATTCGAAATGTAATGCTTTAGGAATTGAAACAAGGCAATAGCACTAATGTGGAAACTGAAAAAATATGCAGCGTATACAGTGTAGGACTGATAACTGATAGGGCAAGTCAGAAAATGGTTTGTAAAATTCCGTTCTGGAGATACGATCTTAAAAGATGAACCGAGTGCAGGACGTATTTTTAACTTTGATGAACCTTTTAAAGGTAATATTGGAGCAAAATCCAATAGCTACGTTCAACAATTGCAAAGAGTGCAAAAAAACTCCATGAAAGGTGTCTTGCACTTATCAGTCGCAGAAACGCCATTCTTTGTCTAATAAAAAACGGAAGTTATTTATGACTCGACCTAATAGTATGCAGTTGGGCGTATTATATTGATATATAATATTATTAAAAATAATATCTTTAGGTATGTTATCTGGTTCATATTTTTGGGGCTGTTTCGCTGATATGAAAGGACGAAGAACATCACTCTTGGGATCTCTATTTCTTCACAGTGCTTCCGAATTTTTAGCATCTCTCGTACCATTTTATTGGGGCTTCGTGGTATTTAAATTTACCAGCGGTTTGGCGTTAGTATGATACAAAACAAAAAAAACAAGAAAACTAATCATCGAGAAAATTCATCGATGCGGTTACTACGGCATATAATAGTGATTACTTTTCCTACTTATACTATCAAAACAATTCATGAATTTTCAGTATATGTGGACAATTAACGGTGCTCTATACATATCTTGCCGAATTTCAACCAATTATTAAACGCAATACGTTTCTTTCCTGGATGGAAACGTCATGGGTAATGGGAATGGTTATTGTAGCGTGTAGGTTCAATCATAATCTTATTACATATTGGTATAATCTTGTTTTTTTTATTTTTTCTTATTTTTTTGTTTTGTTTTTTTGTAGGTTTAGCATGGATTACCATACCTTCTAACATTGGTATTAAAACTGACATGTTTTCTTTTAACTCGTGGAACTTGTTCATCATGATTTGTTCTTTGCCATCATTTTTTATCGGAGTATGTTTAATATTTTTACCAGAAACACCAAAATATCTAGCTGAGATTGGACAAACTGTTAGTATGTTGAACGTTTTGAGTAAAATGTATTCGGAAAATACTGGAAAACCATCGGAAGAATATTTGGTCAGTTGAATGCTTGTTTTTTATAAATTTAAATTAGAAAATTTAACTAACCCTTTGCAATCGAGTAACTCAAAAAAAGATAACAGGTTGTTAAATATTAAGTATTGTTTTTATTTTATAAAACAACTAGGGATGCCCCGCAACGCGTTACTGTGGCTCACAATCAGTCCGATACACACGTCTTTAAGTCAACGAATTACCTTATACCGCCATCTGTAAGAATCTTATCGAACTAACAGAGACAATCATGATTCTTTGTTAATAAACAAATAATTCGCAATAAAATAATATTGCGATTATAAATTGAGATATAAACTATTCTATCTCTCAAGTTGGATAAAACTGCACACAGTATGCAAAATTTTATTAAAATCGGTTCAGTAGTTTAGGAGTCCATTGCGGACAAACAACGTGACACGTAATTTATATATATATGAAAGACATTAATTGAATCAAGTGGTAGTGATGGTCGAATGCAAAGGGTTAATCGTTGATTTTTAATTGATAAAAAAATACACACTTTTATTAATATTATTTAAATAGACGAATTTAAAAAATAGTAACAACCAAGTGTTATCAGAATTAGTATTACGTTTAGGAGAAAGGATAAACGAGAAGGAAGATAAAATACCATCTAAAACATTGCGAACAATATTAAAGAATACATTTATGCAAACATTGATGCTAGTAAGAAAACCATACTTGCATAGAACGTTTATAGTTTGTTCAGCAACATATTTAATAATGAGTTCGTATTACATGTTACTTTTATGGTTGCCCGATCTTTTTCAAAGATACGCAGAATTTCAGACACGTTATCCTAATCAATCTGCCACGGTGTGTACTGTTATTGCATTTGAAAAAAATAATGAAACGGTGAGTTTAAAAAAAAAGAAACAAAATATATTAAATCAAGTAGGCACGTCGGATTAATTATAATAATTGCAAAATTATACCTTACGTTTGAAATGCTTTTTTTATTTTGTTGTTTTTTTTTTTTTAGGTTTCAAGTATGAATCCGAATAATTGCGATATACCAATACAAAACAGTGTATTCTTATATGCATTTATTTTAGCATTAGCAGGTGTACCTGTTGGTCTTACTTTACCATTATTAATAAATCGTTTAGGATATAAATTCTTTTTAGGTAAGATAACTTTTATTATTATTATTTTTTTTTCGTAATACAAACAAATTAAATTAAATTTATAAATAATATAAATAATATAAAATAAAAGAATAATTAAAAATTCAGGGAGTATTCTGGTCTAGAAATTTGAAAAAAATTGATTTTTTTTCATATTTTCAAAGCTTAACCTTTTAAAAATATGTTCTCAAAAGGATTTTTCAAAATTAAATTTATTTTCGGAGATATAGCTGTATTAGTGTCGCGGCATCCTATATCCTACCCTTATTACGCGAAACTTTGAACGCGTTTTTCTCAAAACTGTTTTTTTTTTTTCAAAAATGTTAAAATATCTCAAGTTTTACTAAACCGATTTGCTTGAAATTTGGTGAGAGTCTTCTCTATGCATTACTCTATCGTGCAAACTAAAATCTTACAAAATTTTTAATTTTTACTATTTTTAAAAAATTCGGATAAGTAAAAAAAGTGGTAAAAATAATGTATCTTTTTTTCAAACAGCTGTAATTTAGCGAAAAAAAAACTTTTCTCAATTCTTTTAGTTCGAACGATAGCGGCATTATTCTAAATTAATAATCCGTTTTAATTTTTTATTTCGGATTACCAGGAGAGCTGCAATCTTGACATTTGTCGCGCGCCGTTTTTTTGGGACCCCCCACTTTATCAGCCTATATCTTTTTCAATTTTGAATTTTTTCACTATTTCTTTTTTTCCATGTATTCTCTAAATATTAATGAATATCTTGTAACATTATAGATAGTGAAAATATTATTCGTCTTTTTGTTATTACACTTGAAAAAGTACCTAAAATTCATGCCTCTAGATCAGAAAATCCCCTTAACACTAAACGTAACAGGGTTATTATGTTAATATGTATGTTGTTCTTTTTTTAATTTTTTACTGTTTTAGTTACCAGCACTGTAATAGCAAGTCTTTCATCGTTCTGTATTTTTCTCGTTAAAACATCTATCGAAAATTTAATTATATCCTGTATATTCGAATCATTTACATCGATTTGCGTTAGCGTTGTATCCTGTATGTTGATCGACTTTTATCCAACTCACTTAAGGTATTACAGTTGAGATAAATATTATTTTATAAATATTCCAAAAATATCGTTAAACAAAATTCAGTTTTTTTTCATTATTTACAAGAATAAACCTGAAGTAATTTTAATGCAAAGTTGTGCATATCACATAGCATGTTTGATGCATGTATTTTTTTATTTTTACAATTTCATATGTATATATGGATATGTATATAGTGTGTCTATCAATCATTGATTTATATCACAAGATTTTTCATTTTTATATTATAAATTATATTGTATTATATTATATTATAAATAATATAAATATATAATTATTTATA